ATGGCTACGAGCATGATTTGCTACTATATTATCTTAGCCCGCTGCCACCGCTGCTTAATATTGAGCGACTTGTTTATTCGACTGAATTATTCGACTGGATTATTCGACTGAATTATTCGACTGAACTATTCGACTGGTTTATTCGACTGAACTTTTCGACTGGTTTATTCGACTGGTTTATTCGACTGGATTATTCGACTGAACTAACTGACTGATTTTATCGACTGGACGAGGCCACATGAAAATGTCAAATACCTCATCCCCCCCCACCCCCGCCCCACCCCATCCCCTTTCTTCGTTTATATCATATATAGGGACTCTATTCTTTTCGAGGCGGACAAGGACAGCTGTCTAGTCTTTCGGACGGGACGAAAAACCGAGGTCCCGTGTCTACATTGGAGTGGACGTAAAAGATCCCTTTGACAGATGGAATTCGATATAAGAGTAGGCCGTAGTGCCGCTGTCCGGGAAAAATTTCCCTCATCTCACAGTGTATGGCGTCTGCCCGTCTTCATTAGCCCAGTTCCAAGCAGAACAGAAGGACGTTAAACCCCATTTCATTTCTTTTCATTTCTTGAAACTAGTTGGGAAGCCCCCCGGTCCCTACCCCATGCCCCCGGCTCCTTCAGCTATGGCTACGAGCATGATTTGCTACTATATTATCTTAGCCCGCTGCCACCGCTGCATAATATTGAGCGACTTGTTTATTCGACTGAATTATTCGACTGAACTATTCGACTGGTTTATTCGACTGAACTTTTCGACTGGTTTATTCGACTGGTTTATTCGACTGGATTATTCGACTGAACTAACCGACTGATTTTATCGACTGGACGAGGCCACATGAAAATGTCAAATACCTCATCCCCCCCCCATCCCCGCCCCACCCCATCCGTTTCTTCGTTTATATCATATATAGGGACTCTATTCTTTTCGAGGCGGACAAGGACAGCTGTCTAGTCTTTCGGATGAGACGAAAAACCGAGGTCCCGTGTCTACATTGGAGTGGACGTAAAAGATCCCTTTGACAGATGGAATTCGATATAAGAGTAGGCCGTAGTGCCGCTGTCCGGGCAAAATTTCCCTCATCGCACAGTGTATGGCGTCTGCCCGTCTTCATTAGCCCAGTTCCAAGCAGAACAGAAGGACGTTAAACCCCATTTCATTTCTTTTCATTTCTTGAAACTAGTTGGGAAGCCCCCCGGTCCCTACCCCATGCCCCCGGCTCCTTCAGCTATGGCTACGAGCATGATTTGCTACTATATTATCTTAGCCCGCTGCCACCGCTGCTTAATATTGAGCGACTTGTTTATTCGACTGAATTATTCGACTGGATTATTCGACTGAATTATTCGACTGAACTATTCGACTGGTTTATTCGACTGAACTTTTCGACTGGTTTATTCGACTGGATTATTCGACTGAACTAACTGACTGATTTTATCGACTGGACGAGGCCACATGAAAATGTCAAATACCTCATCCCCCCCCCACCCCCGCCCCACCCCATCCCCTTTCTTCGTTTATATCATATATAGGGACTCTATTCTTTTCGAGGCGGACAAGGACAGCTGTCTAGTCTTTCGGACAGGACGAAAAACCGAGGTCCCGTGTCTACATTGGAGTGGACGTAAAAGATCCCTTTGACAGATGGAATTCGATATAAGAGTAGGCCGTAGTGCCGCTGTCCGGGAAAAATTTCCCTCATCGCACAGTGTATGGCGTCTGCCCGTCTTCATTAGCCCAGTTCCAAGCAGAACAGAAGGACGTTAAACCCCATTTCATTTCTTTTCATTTCTTGAAACTAGTTGGGAAGCCCCCCGGTCCCTACCCCATGCCCCCGGCTCCTTCAGCTATGGCTACGAGCATGATTTACTACTATATTATCTTAGCCCGCTGCCACCGCTGCTTAATATTGAGCGACTTGTTTATTCGACTGAATTATTCGACTGGATTATTCGACTGAATTATTCGACTGAACTATTCGACTGGTTTATTCGACTGAACTTTTCGACTGGTTTATTCGACTGGTTTATTCGACTGGATTATTCGACTGAACTAACTGACTGATTTTATCGACTGGACGAGGCCACATGAAAATGTCAAATACCTCATCCCCCCCCACCCCCGCCCCACCCCATCCCCTTTCTTCGTTTATATCATATATAGGGACTCTATTCTTTTCGAGGCGGACAAGGACAGCTGTCTAGTCTTTCGGACGGGACGAAAAACCGAGGTCCCGTGTCTACATTGGAGTGGACGTAAAAGATCCCTTTGACAGATGGAATTCGATATAAGAGTAGGCCGTAGTGCCGCTGTCCGGGAAAAATTTCCCTCATCGCACAGTGTATGGCGTCTGCCCGTCTTCATTAGCCCAGTTCCAAGCAGAACAGAAGGACGTTAAACCCCATTTCATTTCTTTTCATTTCTTGAAACTAGTTGGGAAGCCCCCCGGTCCCTACCCCATGCCCCCGGCTCCTTCAGCTATGGCTACGAGCATGATTTGCTACTATATTATCTTAGCCCGCTGCCACCGCTGCTTAATATTGAGCGACTTGTTTATTCGACTGAATTATTCGACTGAACTATTCGACTGGTTTATTCGACTGAACTTTTCGACTGGTTTATTCGACTGGTTTATTCGACTGGATTATTCGACTGGATTATTCGACTGAACTAACCGACTGATTTTATCGACTGGACGAGGCCACATGAAAATGTCAAATACCTCATCCCCCCCCCCCACCCCCGCCCCACCCCATCCGTTTCTTCGTTTATATCATATATAGGGACTCTATTCTTTTCGAGGCGGACAAGGACAGCTGTCTAGTCTTTCGGATGAGACGAAAAACCGAGGTCCCGTGTCTACATTGGAGTGGACGTAAAAGATCCCTTTGACAGATGGAATTCGATATAAGAGTAGGCCGTAGTGCCGCTGTCCGGGCAAAATTTCCCTCATCGCACAGTGTATGGCGTCTGCCCGTCTTCATTAGCCCAGTTCCAAGCAGAACAGAAGGACGTTAAACCCCATTTCATTTCTTTTCATTTCTTGAAACTAGTTGGGAAGCCCCCCGGTCCCTACCCCATGCCCCCGGCTCCTTCAGCTATGGCTACGAGCATGATTTGCTACTATATTATCTTAGCCCGCTGCCACCGCTGCTTAATATTGAGCGACTTGTTTATTCGACTGAATTATTCGACTGGATTATTCGACTGAATTATTCGACTGAACTATTCGACTGGTTTATTCGACTGAACTTTTCGACTGGTTTATTCGACTGGTTTATTCGACTGGATTATTCGACTGAACTAACTGACTGATTTTATCGACTGAACGAGGCCACATGAAAATGTCAAATACCTCATCCCCCCCCCCACCCCCGCCCCACCCCATCCGTTTCTTCGTTTATATCATATATAGGGACTCTATTCTTTTCGAGGCGGACAAGGACAGCTGTCTAGTCTTTCGGATGAGACGAAAAACCGAGGTCCCGTGTCTACATTGGAGTGGACGTAAAAGATCCCTTTGACAGATGGAATTCGATATAAGAGTAGGCCGTAGTGCCGCTGTCCGGGCAAAATTTCCCTCATCGCACAGTGTATGGCGTCTGCCCGTCTTCATTAGCCCAGTTCCAAGCAGAACAGTAGGACGTTAAAACCCCATTTCATTTCTTTTCATTTCTTGAAACTAGTTGGGAAGCCCCCCGGTCACTACCCCATGCCCCCGGCTCCTTCAGCTATGGCTACGAGCATGATTTGCTACTATATTATCTTAGCCCGCTGCCACCGCTGCTTAATATTGAGCGACTTGTTTATTCGACTGAATTATTCGACTGGATTATTCGACTGAACTATTCGACTGGTTTATTCGACTGAACTTTTCGACTGAATTATTCGACTGGTTTATTCGACTGGATTATTCGACTGAACTAACTGACTGGTTTTATCGACTGGACGAGGCCACATGAAAATGTCAAATACCTCATCCCCCCCACCCCCGCCCCACCCCATCCCCTTTCTTCGTTCATATCATATATAGGGACTCTATTCTTTTCGAGGCGGACAAGGACAGCTGTCTAGTCGTTCGGATGGGACGAAAAACCGAGGTCCCGTGTCCACATTGACGTGGTCGTAAAAGATCCCTTTGACAGATGGAATTCGATATAAGAGTAGGCCGTAGTGCCGCTGTCCGGGCAAAATTTCCCTCATCGCACAGTGTATGGCGTATGCCCGTCTTCATTAGCCCAGTTCCAAGCAGAACAGTAGGACGTTAAAACCCCATTTCATTTCTTTTCATTTCTTGAAACTAGTTGGGAAGCCCCCCGGTCTCTACCCCATGCCCCGGCTCCTTCAGCTATGTCTAAGAGCATGATTTGCTACCATATCATCTTAGCCCACTGCCACCGCTGCTTAATATTGAGCGACTTGTTTATTCGACTGAATTATTCGACTGAACTATTCGACTGGTTTATTCGACTGAACTTTTCGACTGAATTATTCGACTGGTTTATTCGACTGGATTATTCAACTGAACTAACTGACTGATTTTATCGACTGGACGAGGCCACATGATAATGTCAAATACCTCATCCCCATCGCCCCCCTAACCCAACATATCATATATAGGGACTCTATTCTTTTGGAGGTGGACAAGGACAGATGTCTAGTCGTTCGGATGGGACGAAAAACCGAGGTCCCGTGTACACATTGGCGTGCACTTAAAAGATGGGGGCATATGGGGATGAGGGAAAAAGTCAAGCATGACTTTATTAAGCCGCGGTGGCAATAACTAAGATAACACCTTAAAGTTTTAATTTGAACAATCAAATTTGAACATGAGGGGACGTAAAAAATAAACAAAAACAATGATAAAAGATATTGGAATTAGTGCGTTTTTTCTTTAACTTATACAGATTACAAACGATTCCAAAATTTTAATAAGCCATCGACCGGTTTATTCGACTGACTATTTGTTTTGGACTTAGGGTCGACTCACAAAATCCGGTAGACGGAAGTGAAAGTCGTAAAGATTAAAACAAAAATACTCGTGGGAGAAGTCTGTTGTACAAGTTTTGACATGTGGATTCCAGTAACTAGTTGATCTGCCCTACTCGGCTCCTGGGTACCGTAGTAAAAGATGTCTTTACCTGACAGGGACAGGGATAGGAATTTCCATATGCAGGCGGATTCGTTACCATTACCACCTTCGGGTTCACCTTTGCGGAACGCCTCGTTACCCACACCTATTCCACCACCACCTCCGTATCATGTAGAGACAACATTTGGCACTTCAAATTTTCCACCTGTTACAACTGTCAAACATAATGATGATTCCGATGGGGAATATTACAATTATCTGAGTTCGAATGCCAGCACTCCACCAGGAACTCTCGCCAAAAGAGTTACAAATGGACTTGCAGAGCACAACCATTTACCCAAAATTTCAAGTCTGCTTCAGATTCCTAGCCCAGTGACTCAGCGACATAATTCTGTCAGTTCTAACAGATCGTCGTTAGTACCAGACAGTAAAGAGGACTTAATATTGGTGTTCGTAGACCCTCCAAACAAGACATTGCTTTGTAAATTGTGCAACAAGATCTTCCGTGATCCAGTCATAGTATCGTGCGGACATACATATTGTCGCAGATGTGTCCAGTTAAACACAGAAAGCTTATGTCCAGTGGATAATGATAAATTGTCAATAGTTGTAGCCAATATAGCTGTATTTGAACAGACCGGGGAGTTGTTGATACACTGTCGATACGGTTGTCGTCTAAGTGAAGATGGAGAAACGTACAAATTGGACGAGGCTTTATGCCCAGTAACTATGAAGATGTTGAACAGAAATGAACATGAAAATGACTGTGATTATAAACCAGTTGAATGCCCAAACAGAGCTGGTTGTCCCAAGTTACTGAAGAAAGATTTGGAAGATCACTTACGATCTTGTAACAATGTACGATGTTCTAATAAAAAATATGGCTGTGATTTCGTTGGAACTCAGGAAGAATTAGAAGATCACTTGAAACATTGTAAATATGAAAGCATGAAAGAATTTTTACAGAGGTCTGATGAGAAAATGTCTGACATGCAGTTGACTGTTTTACAGAAAGATCAAGAAATCGAATTTTTACGATCGATGTTGGGGAAATTAGCCGAAAGACTCGAGATGTTAGAAAAGTCAGTGGATATTAAATTGGAATTAGTTGAGCATAATCAAAGTAAGATAATGAATGAAGTTATGGACAACAGACGAGAATACGGTACCCTGGCTGATCAGCTCGCTTTAATGAATAATAGATTAGATTTAGGTGCAACTGCTGGGGCATATGATCCGATTTCAATCTTCAAATGCAAGGGTACTTGTGTTGGTCATCAAGGTCCGGTTTGGTGCTTGTGTGCAATGGGCGATCATTTGTATAGTGGATCTTCGGATAAAACTGTTAAGGTGTGGGACACAAGTGCGAACTTTCAATGCGTGAAAACCTTAGAAGGCCACACCGGTATAGTTTTAGCCCTGTGTACTCACGGTAAGAAACTATTCAGCGGGTCTCAGGATTGTAATATATTGGTTTGGGATACGGACAGCTTCGAGACAATAAAATGTATTCAAGCCCATGATAACCCTGTTTGCACCTTGACCACGGCTAGAAATATGGTGTTTAGCGGTTCCCTGAAAGTTATTCGGGTGTGGGATGTCTATACTTACGAGATGAAGCATGAAATTACTGGACTGAATCACTGGGTCAGAGCTTTATCAGCTACAGCGGAATATCTTTTTAGTGGATCTTACCAGACCATCAAGATTTGGGATCTGACTACTTTGGAATGTGTTCGTATGTTAGAAACATCTGGGGGAAGCGTCTATAGTATCGCTATTACCCATCACCATATTCTATGCGGTACCTATGAAAACTGTATTAATGTATGGGAATTGAGTACGTATAAGCAAACCACAACCTTAATGGGTCATTCGGGTACAATTTATGCTCTGGCTGCTTTACATACAGCTTCAGGTACAAAAGTCTTCAGTGCTTCCTATGACAGGTCACTTAGAGTATGGAGTATGGATAATTTGATTTGTACTCAAACATTGGTACGACATACTGGTAGTGTCGCCTGTCTTGCCGTGTCCAGAGGAAGAATTTTTTCCGGCGCTGTTGACAGTACAGTCAAGGTTTGGCAGTAAGGATTCTTGTGATGGATGTCAGACACAGAAGGTCAGGAAATTGAAAGCCTGCGAGGAACAGTTCATTTCTGATTTGATTGTGTGGAATATATGCTAAAAACTATTGTGATATTTGATATATTAACATGATTTATGTGATGAATGAAATGTGATTCAATGGCACCTCAGAACCATCAGGGCTATATTGCGCCAGTTTGATGGCCAGAGTGACATTTAGTTTCTTTCTTAAATATTATCTTCTAAAATTATTCTATTCTTTGTTTTACTTATTGAAGACTCGTCTTCCTTTAATTCAGTGGTTCTCAACTTTGTCTTGCCAACAGAACACCTTGGAACACATGAAAAAATAGCAGCACACCTGGCTAAATGTATATGAAAAATATTTGAATTTTGCAAAATAAAAACATGGTAAGTCAGATGGAATACAACCGTAGACAGAGACTAGTCATAGACAAATAGAATGACTCAAACTAAATAAAGAATAACACAGCTATGAACTTATCAGCAGACACGAATGAATACTCTGTTGGGATCGTGTGGTTTTTCCTATTTTCTTAGTGCGAGGTTTAAAATTCTGTGGCCCACTTAGGAAGATCTCGCGGCACACCGGTTGAGAATCACTGCTTTAACTATTCAGGTTTTAGGCCTAGCCTATATAATAAATACTAGTAAGTCTTTGAATTAATGATGTTATAACTAATATATTTATTCGGTATTTATCTTTATATGTCTTTCTATTACATACGTACACTATATCTGATTGTATACTCACCTTCATTTATGGGGAGCCACACACTGTAACCAAAGTATCATTTAATCTTGTGTATCTAGCACTAATTTCTTTCACATTCGTTTAATATCAAATCTTTGTTTAAAAATTCATAAAAACTGTTGAAAATCACCAAAAATCATCTAATTTGTACTTGTGTCCAGTATAAAGCTGACCATTCAATTTTGATAATGAGTGTCCAATTTACAAGTATTTAATTTCATGACCACTGTTCACAAATTAATCATTATACATCATTTATCAATTGGGTTGTTTATTTTTTAACAGTGCTTGAGAAATTAAACACTTGTAAATTGGACACTCATTATCAAAATTGAATGTTCAGCTTTAAAAACTGGACAGAAGTACAGATTAAACGATTTATGGTGATTTTAAACAGTTTTTACAAATTTTTAAACGAAGATTGGATATTAAATGAATTTGAAAGAAATTAGTGCTAGATACACAAGATTAAAGGCTCAATACCACTCTTGTTGTAACTGAATAATATGTCCCAATCTTTATTCTGGTCAACAAATTGTACTTTTTTAGAATATTTCAATTAATTGATGATACAAATTTCATCTTAACATACCTTATTTAAAAATTTTGAAAAATTCAACATAATGGTTTGAAACGTCTAACGTAAACCTTTTCAAATGAAACTTCGATTTAAAAATATTTTCGAACCCTCTGGACAAGTAAAATAGGATGTAATGGATAATTTACACAACAGGTAGGACACTTAAACATCTAGTACTTAGATAGAGATATTATTTATTTTCTGGAGCTTTCAAGCCAGCAAGAGTGTTATTGTCCCTTTAAATGATACCTTGGTTACAGTGACAGTGGATAAGTGAGTAAGACGATGGCTCAGTCTGGAGTTTGCGTGTTCAATCCCTGTCTTAGCCGAGAAAGTTCATCGGGACTTGCTGGCATGGTTTCCTCTTGTCAGTGGTGCAGGACAGCTGTCTAGTCGTTTGGATGGGATGATAAACCGGTCTCATAATTATCTGACCAATTTTATGGAACTCTTGTTCATAGCATGTGCAATAAACTTACAGGTGCTAGAAGTTGTGGATAGATTCTAGTATCTAGACAATTCTAAAATCATAATCATAATATGACCATATATGGTAAATTCTTGAAATATCCTTTTATATTAAGCAAATGTAGCCATAATATTTATGAAGGCAATCTATTACTCGGCAAACCTCGGCAGATTCCGTTACTCTACATCTAGCCTTGGCTGTATGACGGTAAGTGATATGTACCTACGCCTATACAATTGTGATGCGGCACGGGTTTACTTATTAGGAAAACTTGCCGCTTTTAAAAAAAAGTTATCAAAAGTGCGTTGTTCGAAGCGTGTGTAGAATTTTCAGTGCAAATTAAGTCGTCCTTGTTTGAAAAAAATCGGATAATCTTCAGACTTTGAAATATTTGTATGATAAAACATTCTTCAAAGGCGTTGTCATGGGCAACGCCGTTGGTAATCCGGGAACTTGAAAGTAGTTCAATGGCAGACCTCGTCATACAGCCAAGGCTAGGTGTAGGGTACTGGAATCTGCTGAAGTTTGCCGAGTGGGCAATCTATATAATAATAAACTTTTAGCTTTCTATGTACTTTTATGAAATTATTAAAACTTGTACTGATATTTGTTACATTAAGAATATTGTTATAAAGGTAAATAAGTTAAATTTTTTGAGATATATTTAAAATTTTGTTTTGTTTGTGTGATCGTAATATTTTACAATATTTGGGACTGCATGACACTTTAAGGACAATATTGGTGTCAGTCATTATCACATATGTCATAGAACTGGTTTAACACATTCCAAATATAATTTTAACACAACAGATCATTGCTACGATAGATACGTTATGAAGATTTCAAGAAACAGAAGTGACGAAAGCAAAAGCGAAACATGAATTATTCTTCTAATACATCTAGCTGACTGAAGTGATGAGTGATAACAGATACATGGGTGAATTTCTGCTCACTAATATGTGTGACTGTGAGAGGATATTTGACAATTCAGAAATGTAATTGAATGTCACTAGATAAGAGAAAACGAAAAAAATAGAAATAGTCCGTACATTCCCTTGTTTTTATTCATTCTATACTTAATAAAAACATGGTAATGCACGCATCTATCGTAGCAATGATATCTGTGTTAAAATTATATTTGGAACGTGTTTAACCAGTTTTATCACATATGTGATAATGACTGACGCCAGTATTGTCCTTTAATTTTAGGGTATAGAGATTTACAAAGTTTTTGTAAATAAGATTGATTTGAAATCGATTGATTTGGTGCTGTGATAGATTGTGTCAGAACTGTTCTGTCTTTGAAATATGTGGCATGTGTAATCTCATAATAATTAAAGTCTTTAACAGCCCGTAATAATTAAGGCATAATTTTAAATACATGTATAACCCTTTTAATATTTTTTGATAAAACGACACTGTGAACCTGTTATACAGGTATTGAACATCATTTATTGTGATTCCAGTGAACTTTTATTTGTTAAATTGTGTGAAGGCAGACTCTGTTCTCAAGTGAACATTTCAGTAAATGAAATATCCTTTACAAAGTGAATAGTTCTAAAGTGAACTTGCTTTTCTAAGATGAACCATCGTTTTGAAGAGAGTTGTGTTTTCTAAGGTGAACTCTTCTTAAGTGAACTCTCCTTTCTTCTTAAGTGAACTCTCCTGAACTCTTAAGTGAACTCTTCTTTCTAAAAAGAACTCTTCTTTCTAAAAAGAACTCTTCTTTCTAAAAAGAACTCTTCTTTCTGAACTCTTCTTTCTAAAAAGAACTCTTCTTTCTAAAAAGAACTCTTCTTTCTAAAAAGAACTCTCCATTCTTCTAAAAAGAACTCTCCATTCTTCTAAAAAGAACTCTCCATTCTTCTAAAAAGAACTCTCCATTCTTCTAAAGTGAACTCTCCTTTCTTCTAAAGTGAACTCTCGTTATTAAGCGTACTCAAGTTTACTTCTGAAGTGAACTCTTTTTTTATAAAGTGAATGACCTTTTCTTATGATATAAAGTAAAATCTTTTTAACTGTGAGAGGTTGTGTGGCCGAATGGTTAACACGTACGAGTTGGATCAGAATATCTGTCCTTGAGTCAACTGCCGTGGTTACGATTTCCCCACTAGAACATGACAAGGAGTAGAGTTGTCTGTCCAACCTCGTGGGTTTTCCGTGGGGCCCCCGGTTTCCTCCCACTGCTTAGACTCCTAAGCGCAAGCTACTTATTGAAATATAGTTGTTAGTCCTGAAATGACCTAGTTTGTGTCAAGTGGACGTTAAACTCCATTTCTCTCTCTCTCTCTGTTCTCAAAATATACCTTATATTTTATCTGTGATCGGAAACCAATCAATATTGATTGCATATTTTATATGAACTATTTTATTCACATATTGCCTGCTTATATTATTAATGCTATGTATTTTGCTAATAGTATATATAAACTAGATTTAAACCACTTGTTCATTTATTGTATGTTATCATAAAAGCCATGTGAAAACTGACTCCCCCAAATGGCGGTTATGATACGGTACGCCACTACATTTAAAGACTGCCACGATAATGAAGCGGTAGGGTACTGGCATACGTTATTTTTGTCCCCCGTCTTTCAAAGAAAACAGGAGACTATTAAAATGGGTCTGTCCGTTTCTGTCTGTTTGTCTGTGAGGGTTGTGTGGGGGGGTCGAATGGTTAGCATGTGCGCGCTGTATCATAAGGTCTGTATTGAATCAACTAAAATGGTATGGATTCCCCAGTTGTACGTAACAATGAGTAAAGTCCCCTGTCCAATCTCGTAGGTTTTCTCCGGTTTCCTCCCACTGCTAAATACCCCTACGCGCAAGCGAATTATTGAAATAAAATTGAACCATATGTTAGTCCCGAAATGACTTAGATTGTGTCAAGTGGACATTAAACCCCATTTCTCTGTCTCTTTCTCTCTCATTCTTGGTGCTAGTCTAGGGCCTCAACTGCACAACAAATTGCCTGCTCTCCAAATATATAAAGGTGGACTTCATAGCCATCACTTTCATCCGGATAATGGATTGAACAATATGACTATTTCTTGGACCAATGTAATATTTCATAACACTACCTTTTATTATGTATGGTCTGACTCAGAAAGTATATTTGACTATTAGTCCAGAATATTGGCTCTTTAATTTGAGGAATATTTGTTTATTAAACAAAAGAATGTGAAGATAAATTTTTTATTTTGAATCTTTATTATTACATTTCTTCAGTTCATTTATTAATACATAAATTCATTTTGTCATTAATAATCAGTCAAATATCACAGATGCATCATATTGATCTTGCTGGACAGATCTTCTTCTAATAAAGTCTAAAAAAGAAGAAAAAAAGAGCAGTATTAGGGCTATGATTCTCCAATTATACAAGAAGTAATATCTGCTCATTAACCATTGCCAGGGGTCACGGTGACTAAGTGGGTAAGACGCTGGCTCGCTCCCTGCATTGGCCGTCTAGTCGTTCGGATGGGCCAAAAAAACGAGGTCCCATGGACACATTGGCGTGCACGTAAAAGATCCCTTGGCAGTTAGAATTCGATATAAGAGTAGGCCGTAGTGCCGCTGTCCAGGCAATTTCCCTTATAGCACAATGTATGGATATGCGCGGCTTCATTAGCCCAGTTCGAAACCCCATTTCATTTCATTTTATTAACCATTGCCACACTTAATAGCTATATTCACATTTGTTTTCATTCATCTACTTAGTTAAACATACATTATGGGAGATTAGATAAAGAGCTGGCAGTTCTGGGTATAATAGTTAAAAACTTAATAATGTAAAGAGAATCTGATGAAAAATTCAGTCAAAATGCTTCACTCTAAGCCGAAAAAACCCTTATTTTAAAATCACTGTAGCCTCGATTGTCATGGTTACCACTGTTATGATAATTAACAGTCTTGATTATTCATTTTTGCAGTTAATCCATCAATGGGCATTGAACAGCAGATCAGATTCAAATCTTCTCATTGGACACATAAGATGTCATCGAGAGTTGATTATGGCCTGGATCGGTTAATTAATGTCTAATTAATAATTTAGATAACATTTCAGGCCTAAAGAAAGACCTGCAATAGGCAGATTTAGCTCTTGAATAATGTATGTAATATTCAATTTTTCAATGCTATTCGAGCTGATTTTCAATATTCGTTATTCAATGTCAATTAAGACTAATATAATTTCATTAGGTTAGGCCTCATAATGAAATATATAATAACATGAATTTAAAGAAATCTATCAGGTAATATTGAAAAATATATAGATTTCAAATATTTGGTTAGTAGACATTTTCACAATCTGATTAAAACACAGATCCTATTTCGTTTCGTTTTACTTGTATTTAATACACTAGGATCTGGAAGAGTTGTTATATAACCCGCGTTCTGGTTGATGTGAGGGATTAGCCAATGAAATGGTCTATTACGGCGAGTTTTTGATGTGAGGTGCATGGAACTGTGGGTAACCCACTAGAAACATCAACGTTGATTGGTTAATCAAATGTCTGGCGACATACGGTCAAAAGCCGCTCGTATGACCTCTGACACAACCTTCCACTACAACTGGTCAGATCTTCATGTAGTAGAGGCCATGGAAAGTATGAAAAAAACGAAATGAAATATAGTTTTAATCAGATTGAAATTTTCAGAAACAAAACGCTGCAAACCAAATAAAGGAACATTACATCATATAAATGAAATGAAATGGGGTTTAACGTCCTACTGTTCTGCTCCTATGCTGGGCTAATGAAGACGGGCATACGCCATACAGTGTGCTATAAGGGAAATTTTGCCCAGGCAGCGGCACTATCGCCTACTCTTATATCGAATTCCAACTGCCAAGGGATCTTTTACGTGCATTCTAATGTATACATGGGACCTCGGTTTTTCGTTTCATCCGAAGGACTAGACAGCTGTCCTTGTCAGGCCCTCCGTCCTGCATCACTGACAAGGGGGAACCACGCCGGAAAATCTCGATGAACTTTCTCTGCCAATGCAGGGATCGAACACCCGACCTCCAGGCTAGCGAGCCAACGTCTTACCCACTTAGCCACGTGATCCCCTTACATCATATAAAATTTGACGTGTAGCATGCCACGTATTGAACTAAAATAAAATACTCACCACTTGCCTTCTCATTTCTTCAATTTTAACTCGTGCTTCAACCAAATCCTACAAAACACATTTTATGAAGATTACTTCCAGGGATAAGGGGCAGTAACCACTTTAAAATAGTGTGAGAAATGGGGTTTTAACGTTCACTCGACGAAAACTAGGTTATTTCGGGACCAACATGGTTCAATTTTTATTTTAATAATTTAGCAGTTGGAGGAAACCGGAGGACCTGGACAATACCCACGCGGTTGGACAGGCGACCCTACTCCTTGTCACATACAAGTGGGGAATGGAAACCACCCCACTTGACTCAATGCCAGACCTTGTGATTTCATGTCCACACATTAAACCACTAGACCACCCAAACCCCAGTAATTTGTAAGGATAGTCCAAGTGTTTACTTACAGGAGGTAGATCATGGTACGACTGAAGTTTAGCTCTTAAAGGAGTCAGTTTCTGTTGGAGATTCTGAAGTTCCTGGGGAAAAAAGAAAAAACTTTTAACTTAAAAATACTATGCAGTATAAAACAAAAATCAACATTTGAAAGAGCTAAGAATTTCTACACACTGTGTGCGGTTCTGTAGACAATAAATATTTTCGGCTAGAGTCCTTAAAAGAAGTGTTCACTATGGCTCAAAGAGTGTGTTATTATGAATAAAGTTTGTTCAACAAATTATATACAATATTTTGTATTTAATTTCTATTCTCTCAACTAAGACAAGACAGAAGACTGGTTTGGGCATTATAAGACTTTTAATCAGATGTTGAAAGAGGAGTAATGTAAAACAATGTTCCAGTTTTCAAGCTGGTCTTGCATTGTATATAAGAATACATATACAGTAGAATCTGCATTAAGCAGCCACCCAAGGGAATTTTCACAACTGACCGCTTAACGGGAGTGACCGCTTAACGGGAGTGACCTCTTAATAAAATCTCGTTGCTTTTTGTGCTGACATAAATTAAATATTACGCTTGGATGCATTGGAAGCGGTAAATTTGACCGTCGCTGAATCTTGCGCCGAACGAAAATTCTTTACTCAAATCTCGGACATAACATAACGGGAGTGGCCTCTTAATAAAATCTTGGTGCTTTTTGTGCTGACATAAATTAAATATTACGCTTGAATGCATTGGAAGCGGTAAATTTGACCGTCGCTGAATCTTGCAACAAACGAAAATTCTTTACTCAAATCTCGGACATAACTTCTGTAAACTTGTCATTTTGTACCAACCTTCGATACTACTGTCTACCATTGTGATGCATTCGATACTACTTATCCATTTTTGTGAAGAAAATCGATGAATTCATTTTATTAAAAAAGCACATGAACAAAAAAATACATCGCTAATTTTATCACTATTTACAGGGGGTGTAACTCTGTATGTAATATTATAGGAGGCGCTAAACGTCTGTTTAACAATAAAGAGATACTAGATGATCTTGACAAAACTCGGTACTTTTATTTTATTCAATCAGTATCAAATAATGTGTCGTTACGCGTGAAAACAATGATCAGGTTAGTCGTTTAATAAAACAAAAGATTAATTAACAGATAATCCCGGGTTGATTGTTATTTTTACATTTCTTTTTACCTGATCAGTGGGGATCCAGTTAATTAACTACTACTCACGGGATTAGCGGGGGTGTTACAAAGAACGACAAGATGGTATCATTCAACAATGGCCGTTGAATGGGCGATGTTTTGTTGAATTCATTTGTAAAATAGTGACCGCTGGCCGCGTTAGAGGAGTGACCGTTGAATAAATAGATGAAACAACAGAATTTCTACGGGGGGAATTTATCGTGACCGCTTACAAGGAGATGTCGCTGAATAGGAGTGGCTGCTCATACAGATTCTACTGTACAATAAAAACACATACTAAAACAAGTAAAATTACAAATTTAGATAAAGAGGGAGTGGGAGGTTGGGATATAAAAAGGCTGTTATGAGGTAAGTCGCCAGTCAGCCACACCCGGTTTAAAGGGCCAATTCAACCACAAAAATTAAAAGTAAATTACCAGGCAATTTTATACTTTCTTAAGCGTGAATAAAATTATTGTCATTCCTTAACTACAAGAGCTAATGAATTACATGTATCAAGACAAAAAACAAAATGAAAACATTCATGTTTACTATTTTATTAATTTATTCTGTAGAAAGGACAATTATTCAAAATAAATCAAATATAAAGTCTGATATTATGCCGAGACGGCAGTGTTACAGCCGACCCTTTATTGAATTCCAATTGTCATGGGCTTTTATCATTCTTGTCAAAGTTATCACTTGTGTTCCTGCTATTTGATCCAAATGACTAGGCAACAATTAATTTGTCAACCTTGCAGGTGTTACCCCATTTGATCTCGCATTAGTTAACTTCGTACATTTTATCAAGGCCTTCACGTAATATTCTACGTTTTTCGTCACTAATTTCAGTTGGTCATATACCCAGCTCCTGACCCCTCAGATTCCTGGATAGAAAATATCATTGTGAATACTAATTCAATAACAAACCTCAGCTTTATTAACTAATGTCTTATGATATATATCTGGAGTAACGTCCAACTTTACCAACTGACCCTGAAAAATAATTATACATGTATAAAGTTCTGTACTTCATTTGGAAATGAAAGGACATTTGTCATTTCAAATTTAAAGAGGAACCAAGGTAGCTCAGTGGGTAAGATGTTGACTTGCTGGTCTGGAGGTCGTGTGTTCAATCCCTGCTTTGGCAGAGAAAGTTCATCAGGATTTTCCGGCGTAGTTCGTCCTTGTCAGTGGTGACAAAGGACAATGGAATTCGTTCAGATAGGACGTAAAACCAAGGTCCCGTGTACACATTGGCGTGCACATAAAAGATCCCTTGACAGTTGGAGTTCGATATAAGAGAAGGCCATAGTGCCGCTGTCCGGCCAAAATTTCCCTCATTACACACTGTATGGCGTATGTCCGTCTTCATTAGCCCAGTCGGAGCAGAACAGTATCACGTTAAACCTCATTTCATATCATTTCAACTGCCAAGGGATCTTTTACATGCACAACCAAGGTCTACCATATGAACTATATTTACCTGATGTTTTTGAATTAACTTTCTGTATTCTTCTGCTTTATTCTTTAAAAACCCTGTTTGTTTTATGTGACTTTCAATCTTAGGTCTTTGGATTTTACTCTGTTCTTCGGATGTTTGAAGAGCCCTGGAAAAACAAAATGGCGGTGATAATTATTAAGGATAATAGCTGGGCTGGTAGGGCTCGAATTAAAGAAGAGCTAGAGGGACAAGGCTGGTAGGGTTTGAATTAAAGAAGGGCTAGAGGGACAAGGCTGGTAGGGTTCGAATTAAAGAAGGGCTAGAGGGACAAGGCTGGTAGGGTTTGAATTAAAGAAGGGCTAGAGGGAAAGGCTGGTAGGGTTCGAATTAAAGAAGGGCTAGAGGGACAAGGCTGGTAGGGTTTGAATTAAAGAAGGGCTAGAGGGACTAGAGCTGTGCTTTTTAGCACTGCCCTTCAAATCTAACAATATTTTTTTTTCATCATGATCTATTTATAGCTTTGATGGAGGATCTTCTGATTGGTTATAAAGTTCTTCTATTTCCTTAAATTCAACTTACTTTTGGAGTGAGTTGTATTTAATAAGGGATGATTTTGTTTTTTCAAACAACTGTGAAATTAGATTTTGTTCAGCTTCTCTTTCTTCTGCTATTCTTGTTTCTTCACTATGTAAATGCTGTAAAGCCAGATAGAAGCTGGAAAAAAAAAATACAAAACAAATATTAAACAGGCCTATAATTCAATCAATTAAGTTGTTATATTAAAGATACATTATGTTAATTTAGATAAAGAGCTGACCATTCTTGCAATCTGATTAAAACACAGATCCTATTTCGTTTCGTTTTTTATAGTTCAAAATTGCGTTTTACTTGTCTTTACTACACTAGGATCTGGAAGAGTTGTTATATAACCTGGGTTCTGGATGATTTGAGTGATTAGCCAATGAAACGGTCTGTTATGGCGAGTTTTTGGCATGAGGTGCATGGAACTGTGGGTAACTCACTGGAAACATCAACGCTAATTGGTTCAGCGAATGTCTGATGTCATAGGGTCAAAAGCTGCTCATATGACCTCTGAAGCGACCTTCCACTACAACTGGTCAGATCTTCATGTAGTAGAGGCCATCGAAAGTATAATGGAACGAAATGAAATATAGATCTGTATTTTAATCAGATTGGCAGTTCTTTCTATAATGGTTCAACAATAGACAATGCAAAATGAATATATTGGAAATTTCATTCAAATTACTATATTCTGAGCAAAGTTACAATGTTTGTAGTTTTGACAAGATGTGTGCAATGATTGTTTATTATCATAACCACCGTACTAGTTGTTCTAGAGAGTTGACTATGGTCTGGATAAATTAATTAATGTCTAATTAATAGTTTATACAACATTTCAGGCCTAAAGAAAGACCTGCAATAGACAGATTTATATCTTATATAATGCCTCTTTATCAACAATATTAAAATCTTTATAATTGTAATTGAACTGGTTCAAATTCAATATTCGTAATGAAAATTGGTCACTAAATATATTTGAGAAATCATCAACATCAAGGGTACCATCCTAAGACATGGAATTATTTCTAAAGTACTAATTGTAATTTGTATCCATCCTTAATTCCTTGGTGAAATTTGTTTAAACAAAGCACCCAAAACCAGAACAAATTCATTTTATGACAAATATAATATGAGAGAGAGAGAAATGGAGTTTAACGTCCACTCGACACAAACTAGGTCATTTCGGGACTAACATATGGTTCAATTTTATTTCAATAATTCATTTGAGCGTAGGTTTTTTTTTTGTTTTTTTTTTTAAAAACTTTATTGCGGTTGGTACCAGGTTTGGAGAGCCCTGGGCTTACCAACTTACATTAATATATCATAACAGAACAGTAAAAAGTTAAATCACATACAATGTTCATTTACATACATGCATATTATATATAGAGAGATACAACTTGGTCATTAATCACCGCGGGTATAGTCAAGCGTCGTCTGCTATTTTTTTTTCCCCAGCCAGTAAGCCACCCAACATCAAACAGTAGTACATTATGGGAGGTTAAAGGTCATGTACATGCGACCTATAGAGGAAAGGCCCCAAGGTCACTGGTCTATTTTTAGATTTATGGCGATAAAAACTGGTACCAGTCAGACAGATTAGTTTCGAATTTGTCATGTTCTCCATTTTTCAGGTATAAATATTTCATTATTTCCATCTTCTGCTTCAGTCTTTAACAGTGGGAGCAAACTGTAGGACCCGGAGAAAACCCACAAGTTGGACAGGCGACCCTACTCCTTGTCACGTACAACCGGGGAACCTCACTATAATATGAGTGTAGTCAGTGGTCGTCAATATATACATAAGACATAAAGTTATTACCTGGTATCTGATGTATCTTTTATTTCAAGTAATAAAGCAAGGTTAGCTAATGTTCTTAGATTTGTGACACCAGACTGGGATAATGACGCTGGTTTTATTGATAATCCTTCAACAATATCTCCCACCAGTTTTCCTGAAGTTTTAATGAACAAATAATATAAAGTTGGTGTGATATTTCAGATGATACCCAAGTAACTGACTAGGTATATAAGGGTTACCCAGATGAATTATATAATGCTAGATTCCCCCTATCATGATTCGAGCTGCGATTGAAATCGTGAATTTAATTATGGTGATCCTATCATATATCGAGGTCAGCCGTAGTAATCGTGTTGATCGCATAGAAACATATCCGAACGTATCTGCACATACCAGATCATGGACTCAATACGGACACTCCTATCGTAACGTATCGCACAACAGTGCAATCTAGCATTAACTGACATTAATTTTATGATTGACATGAAATTGGGTTTTTATCGTCTGACACTTGTAAGCTAGAAATGTTTGCATATTAATTATAAAGACACTAGATGTTTACCTGGCATTCCACAGGTAGAGCCCTGAACCTGATGTAGTATAACCCCGAAACTGAAGTGGTAGCGCAATGCCATTAGTCTTAAGTCACTTCCCAGTTTGAGTGGCCCTTATTTATACCCAAAAATTTCAGACAGCCTTATATATACATGGACAGGCAAACAGTTTGAAAACTAAATGAGAGAGAGAGAGAGAGAGAGAGAGAGAGAGAGAGAGAGAGATGGGGTTTAACATCCACTCGACACAAACTAGGGGAGGAAACCGGATGACCCGGAGAAAACCCACGAGGTTGGACAGGCGACCCTACTTCTTGTCACGTACAACAGGGGATTCGAAACCACGCCAGTTGACTCAATGGCAGGCCTTATGATACAGCGCGCATGTGCTAACCATTCGGCCATCCAACCCCCCACCTTAGATGGTATGGTAGTGGTGTTTTATTTCCTCCCACTGCTAAAGCCTGCGAATTATTGAAAGAAAATTAAACCATATGTTAGTCCCGAAATACCCTAGTTTGTGTCGGGTGGACGTTAAACCCCATTTCTCTCTCTCTCACCATCTGAGGTATATTCTTCTGCCTTTTGATTATGGTCTTTGATTATAAGCTGAGTATCTCTATCTTTTGTCTGATTTGTTTTCATCAAGTTATGTAAAATACCCAGCGTTCTTAAATTCAGTTCAAACTGTGGAATAGAATCTCCCCCAAATATCTGTTCTAACCATACTTGAATCTAAAACAGAAAGTTATACAAATGAAGCCATTTTTAAATATCAATGCATTATGTAAGAGCTAATTGCAATAAAATTCCTAACTCCGAGAGACGTAGTGCACTAATGTATTGGATATTTTAATTATCTGTCGGTACTAAAGATAGGTTGCCAGGCAATGGAAAATACGCCCACAGCAGCTAAATCGTCTGGGCGGTCGACATGGGTTGGGTGCCATATATTTATTCTTTTGTGGGTAATTTGGGGCATTTACAAAAGAATTTCATAAAGATGGGATTATAATTTTCGTCGTTTGAGGGTTCACAATGTTCTACAAACTGAAACAAGGTCCTTGACTCTGGAAGTAATTTAACTAATTAAGCATATAATCCTACCTGACTGGGGTACAAATCAACGGGTATGACATTTTAAAACGGAACAGGTTTGACGTTTTAATGTCATGAAGGCGGGGCTAAATATGTCATGTACAACAGCCAATCAAGATATGTAATTATGATCGAATGGTCTTTTCAATTTCATTAAAAACACTACTTGATTAAAGTAGCTAAGTCTCTAACTCAATATCATCCAAAATCTCCAACACTGAAAACACGATTTATTTGTCAAATTAAATCAACATTGATGTTTTGATCTTACCGGAATAAGATGGGCTTTTGATATCCAATATTTAAGACAAAATAAACATTTTACCATTGGTACACGAATCGTGTACCATAATGCGCTTCAGTCCCAGTTGTAAAAAGAGACTCGAGGGACGAGGCTAGACACATTGCACCAAATCGAACGGCGTATGTAGACTGGAATAACCAGACGCTAGAAATTTGCACTCGATTGAGACTGCTGGCCTATTTCGCCGAACATAACTGATTTGAAATTGGAGTAAAAACGGAAACCATTGAATGTAAATCAGTTTATATACATTCATATTACAGTATTATATGCGTTGCGACCCACTTTTGTCAATTTCTAGGTCCCAAATGTTAGCGATTTAGCTCCTTTAACTTTCCTGACAATATTTACAGATAAACAAAAGTTTGCCAGATGAAACTAAAGGCATCCAATCGTAGCTAAAAACAAACACATCAGTATATCTCAACGTTTTTCAAGTTTTTGTCTTAGGCAGCCTAGTAAAAATATAAAATCATAAAAAAATATAAAAAATTAAAGCTTTTATATTCATAACCTCTTGATGGGCTTCATTCATGTTATCAGGTCTAAAAGCCATATTCTGTTATTCATCAAGTCTTCGAATGGAAATTTGTTGAAGTATCATTCCATCTTGTTTTCAGACATAATTTTGATGATGAAAAACAGGAATGTTTACAGGAATATTTTTCTTCAAACTTCCCGCAATTCAGAGTTATTTCCCTTAGATCTACAGTTATAATCGGTGATAATCGTTTCCGTCCCTCAATGAAACTTATGGAAATAGCACAATACTGGATCTTCAATGAGTTACTTTCTATTTTTCACTCGGCAACCGGCTGCAGATTTCACTCGGCCAACTTCGGTTACTCCTCTACACCAAACCATGTTTCCAAACAGAGTTATCTTTCCGTGACCCGCAAATTATATTTTTAACAATGAGTTGAATTCTATAGGAGGTGTTGGAACTCCCGCAAACAGTGCCGGTGGTGCAAGTAAGTTATAAAAATAAATACAACTGACAAAAGGTTAAGGACCACCTTAAAGTAAAACAAGACAGGAATATTTGGTCATTTAAGTAATAGATATTTTTTAATTGAGGATTTCGAAAAATATAGGAGTCCATTAGATGATCTGGTCAGGAAAAGGATGAGGATTACAGACAAGAGTAGTGATAAACATCGTCATGTGTATCCCTCTCTCACTTGGAGAGAGAGAGAGAAATGGGGTTTAACGTCCACTCGACTAACATATGGTTCAATTTTATTTCCATAATTCGCTTGCGCGTAGGGATCTTTAGCTGTGGGAGGAAACCGGAGGACCCGGAGGAAACCCACGAGGTTGGACAGGCGACCCTACTCCTTGTCACGTACAACCGGGGATTCGAAACCACGCCAGTTGACTCAATGACAGACTTTATGATACAGCGCGCGCACACTAACCATTCAGCCATCCACCCCCCCCCCTCTCTCACTTGGATCACGTCCTCAACACCTCTTGTTTGATTAGTACCATGGTACCAAAGGAACCTGACACTATTCTTCTTGGAGTGGCAAGACTTATGCTGGAAGTATTTTGTGATGGATATTACATGGTTCCAAATAAAAACCATCTGAATTTATTGTTGATGGTTAAATATCAAACAGACCTCATTTTAAACGGTGGTGCTTATCTTTTTGACACACATAATTTTTACCGTACTACTGCTCAAAAGCTTTTAATTTTGTTTTAAAATTCTGTTAATTCGTTGATAAATCACGTTATTCTATTCTCTAGTCATGGTAGTCAGTTAAACTTGAAACCTGTATGTTTAAGTTGTAACCACTGTAAAAAGGATGGCTGTAGAAGAATCATGTTCGTTCTGAATCTAAATGTAAAACCTATTCCCCCCCCCCTCCCCAGCCGCTGATCAACAGAAATGAGCAAAGTGAACCTGGGCACTAAACAATATTCAGAATACAAGTTATTTAGAAGTTTATTTTGTTTGTGGCTTGATAAATACAAGAGAACACTTTTCAAGACGTCGTCAGAAATGAACTGTGAAAAAACTTGTATTTAATACACCGGTATATTAGTCATGGTTTATTCAATACAGTTACTAAATGCAGCTTTAACAAACTACATTTTTTAATGGTTTATTTACAGAGAAGAAATGGGAAACATTACCAGGCTGCCAGACACGCCCCATTGATAACAAAGGTCTGCCTGCTGCCGCTGTACACAAAACACCCAACCCAGAACCAATCGATGCCACAAAATTCCCGCTAGCAGAAAAAATTCGACGACTTTCAATGTTTTACGAAGTGAAAAAAAAGTAATCAATGAAATTATGGTGAGGTTTTATTTATTAAAGATACATTATGGGAGATGGAGATAAGATAACGAGTTAGCAGTTCTCACTATAATAGTTAAAAACTACATAATGTAAAGGGAATTTGCTGAAAATGTCAGTCAAATTGGTCCACTATGAACCGAAAACTAAGCGGATGAAAGTTTCGCCTAGCCTCGAAACTAATAGTCTCGATTGTCTATTGTTGTGATTTAATTATCAATGAGCGATAGCAGCATATAGAATTGTAATCCAGTCGACATCGAAGGCTAGCCTTGACATCGGGAGTTTATTATGGTCTGGATAAGTTAATTAATGTCTAATTAATAATTTAGATAAGATTTCAGGCCTAAAGAAAGACCTGAAATTGAAAGGTTTAACTCTTGCATAATGCATGTTTAATATTTTTCACAATAATCTCATTAAAAACACAGATTCTGCTTTATTTTTATTTTTATTCAAGCATGTATTACATATAAAATTCTTTTATTTGCCCATCTACATAAGACCAGTGGGGCAAGTTTGGGTGGTCGAAGCGTTAATGCGTCATTACCCGCTTGTACGTGACAAGGAGTAGGGTCGTCTGTTCAACCTCGTGCGTTTTCTCCATGTCCTCAGGGTTTCCTTCCACTGCTAAAGACCCCAAATGAAATAAAATGAACTATATGTTAGTCCCGAAATGACCTAGTGTCGAGTGAACAATAAAGCCCATTTTCCTCTCTTTCCCATTAAATCCTATTTTATTTCATTTTAGTTGTTTGAGAATTCTCTGATGAGTTGTAAAGTTGGAATTAGACCAGATTTTTTGATCGATGGCATGGTACAAGGAAAGAACGGATCCTTTTTCACTGGCCGACTTAATCTGGGTGGTGTGTTCCTAGCCAGAGCTATCGGCATCAACAAGAAAGAAATCAAACTGTCATGTTTCAAGAAGGCGGTGGAACTTTATCGTACCCTTCCTGTCACTGAAATTTTGAACCAGGATGATATGACCCCAAAAGTTATCAAGGAGAAACTGGAGAATTTTAACTCGACCGTTGCTAAGATGGAGAAAGAAACAATTGCAGAGTTACCCCCACCATCTATTTTGAAACAGATCCAAGATATTCTAACCAATCCTAAATATGCTTCAACCAATTCAATCAGCAAAATGGAGTTGGCGGCCTCTGTGGCTAAATGTCGAGTCCGTTGTCGATATGATGTAGAGAGTTGTAAAGCTGAATCAGGGAAAGTTTATCATAAGGGCATGTACTTTATTGACAACATACTACAAGGTGCAGGTGTTTCAGTTTCCAAAAAAACTGCTAAGTCATTGTGTTATAATATGGTGGTTGAACGACTGACCACCATGAATGTTGAACATGGCAACATCTTAGATGGTGTCGAACAGTCTGTCATAACAGAAGCAGAAGCACAGGTTCAGAGCACTTTGATAAAGGCAGCACCAAATCCTAGGGCATTTGATCTCCGTGAACAGTTTGTCAAAATGAACGAACTTAGCAGTGCCACGCATCCTGCATCCATCATTACTGTCTTGGATGGAATTTTCAACGATGTAAAATTGACGCCCATTTGTCTGTACCGTCGTAGCATGAACACAGAAATAGAAAAGGAGAAAATTTTCTGTAACCTCTATCTAGCTGGTCATCTCATCATGATTGGTGAAGCAGAGAACCGAACAGATACCCAAGCAGACGCTTACTCTAAAGCCCGAGAGGTTTTGACGAACTGTGACCCCGAGTTCATCCTCCCCCAACACAGTAAACTTCAACCACACGACCAAGCAGCAACAGATGTTATCGACTTTCGTGTCAAGGGCAACTGCATTTCGGAAGATAACTGTTCGAATCTTCATCGCTTACAATGGACCCGAAAACCTATATCAACACTACCAGCCAAGGATATCGTTGTCTTTGAGGACGGCAGTTGGATAGTAGATCGTAAAGTTCAAGGTTTCTATATTTTACAACATTCATGTTTTGTCAACAATATGTTGTTGGAATGGGAGTTTTTTGACAATGATGATCGTGTATTCAGGTAAGTTGCCTTAAGGCCTAGTCTGGTCTCCCGGCCATAATCTTAAGGCCTAGTCTTGTGTCTTCCGGTCTCAACTGTAAGGCTTAGTCTTGTATCTTCTGGCCTCAACTGTAAGGCCTAGTCTTGTGTCTCTTAAGACCTAGTCTTGAATCTCTTAAGACCTACTGTAGTCTTGCGTCTTCCGGCCTTAACTGTAAGACCTAGGCTGTGTTTCCTGGCCTTAGCCTTCAAGCCAGAATTTCATATTTTCTATGAAAGTCAAAACATAATTATTTCTATGTCTTTTGCTCAATAGGTTATCAACTCACTATTATACGACTATGGGCATTATTTCCCACCCTTAAAAATCATTGACACAGGAAATAATAACACAATTACTTCCCTTGTTTTCCTATTGCCTCCATGCATTAGCTATCTTCAAATGTTGGAATTCGAAAATGATAATTTTGCCAATTTCGCAGCTGGCAATAGTGAATTATAGGATTAATAGGATTATTCTTTAACAAGGTAGGACTGTGTATGGATACCATCTATTTTAAGGCTTTATTTTAATAAATTTTAAAAATATAACTTAACAAATATGAAATTGTAGCTTTAAGATCTAGTCTTGTCCCATTGATCAAAATTTTGAAATGTTCAGTTTGCTTGTTACTCTTCTTTTGTTTTTAGGGGTGGTTGAGTGGTCCAAGCTCATAAGGTCTTTCATTGAGTCAAACCTCCTGGGTGTCAGTCCATCTTACTTTAAGATGTCAGATGAAGATACAGAAGGAAGATGTTGGAACCGAACCTGCAGTGTCTCTTAGTAAGATAGGCTCTAGAAATTTTGCAGCAGCTGATATCTTGTTTAAGCTCTACGAAACACAACCAGTCATAGAGGTAAGTTATTCTGTTGAATACTTGAATTAGCTTTAGGGCTATGGATTCCTGAGCTAAATAGGGCCTACATTATATAAATATAGGTTGCCAGGCAACTAAACAGCAGCTAAATCGTCCAAGCGGTCGACAAGAGTTGTCGAATATTTGTTCTTTTGTAGGTAATTAGGGGGCATTTAATAGACAACTTCATACAGATGACATTATAATTTTCGTCGTTTGAGGGTTCACAAGGTTCTAAAAACTGAAACAAGGGCTGTAACTCAGGAAGTAATCTACAGAAATTATTGAAATTCGACAGACTTTTTCGTTTTACTAATTCAAATAATACATATCAATTTCATACAGATCGGATGATAACTTTTGTCGTTCGAACGTTCACAAGATTCAACAAAGTAGAACAAGGGCCATAACTCTAGAAGTAATTGACAGAAATTGCTGACATTCAATAGGCTTCTTCATTTCACTAATTTAAATGATGCATATGAATTTCATACAGATTGGGTGATAACTTTTGTTGTTCAAGCGTTCACAAGATTCAACAATGTGAAACAAGGGCCATAACTCTAGATGTAATTAACGGAAATTTGCTGAAACTCAATAGGCTTGTTCGTTTTACTAATTTAAACGATACCTTTAAATTTCATACAGATCGTATAATAACTTTTGTCGTTAAAGCAACCACAAGGTACAACAAAGTGAAACAAGGGCCATAACTCATGGCGTAATTAAAGGAAATTGCTGAACTTCAATAGGATTCTTCGTTTCACTAATTTAAATCATGCATATCAATTTCAAACAGATCGGATGATAACTGTTGTCATTAGAGCATTCACAAGATTCAACAAAGTGAAACAAGGGCCATAACTCTAGATGATTAACGGAAATTGCTGAAATTCAATAGGCTTCTTTGTTTTACTAATTTAAATGATGCATATAAATTTCATACAGATCGGTTGATAACTTTTGTCGTTTGAGCGTTCACAAGGTTCAATAACATGAAACAAGGGCCATAACTCTAGACGTAATAAACGGAAATTGCTGAAATTCAATAGGCTTCTTCGTTTCACTAATTTAAATAATGCATGTAAATTTCAGAAAGATCGGATGATAACTGTTGGAGTTAGAGCGTTCACAAGGTTCAATAAAGTGAAACAAGAGCCATAACTCTAGACGTAAAAATTCAATAGGCTTCTTCGTTTCACTAATTTAAATAATGCATGTAAATTTCAGAAAGATCGGATGATAACTGTTGGAGTTAGAGCGTTCACAAGGTTCAATAAAGTGAAACAAGAGCCATAACTCTAGACGTAAAAAAACGGAAATCGCTGAAATTCAATAGGCTTCTTTGTTTCACTAATTTAAATAATGCATGTAAATTTCAGAAAGATCGGATGATAACTTTTGGAGTTAGAGCGTTCACAAGGTTCAATAAAGTGAAACAAGGGCCATAACTCTAGACGTAATAAACAGAAATTGTTGAAATTCAATAGGCTTCTTCGTTTCACTAACATAAATATTGCATATAAATTTCACAAAGATCGTATGTTAACTTTTGGCATTAGAGCGTTCACAAGGTTCAACAAAGTGAAACAAGGGCCATAACTCTAGACGTAATAAACGGAAGTTATTGAAATTAAATAGGCTTCTTCATCTCACTAATGAAAACAACATATATCAATTTTAAAACAATTGGATGATAACTTTTGGCGTTAGAGCGTTCACAAGAAATTGTGGACGATGGACGGACGGACCGACAGACGGACGGACGGGGGCGACGGCAATATACGTCCACATTTCAGTGTGGGCGTATAAAAACCAATTTAGCCAAGCATTGCATTTCTACACCCTTTCACTGAAGCAACGTTCCTGTCCCTTGAGCAGGGTTATCCTGTGACAACACCAGAAGATTGATATATGGGTGGGCTGGTCTAGTGGTCTAATGCATGCCCTTTAGATCATAAGATATGTCCTTGAATCAATTTGAGCCAAGCTTGTATGTGACAAGGAGTAGAATCTCATGTCCAGTATCGTGCATTTTTTTCCCGTTCCGTCAACATGCTGCCAATGGCTATACAAGGGACCTTTTTTCTTGTCCAGTCCATCTTGCCCTTGCAACAAGACGAAAAAAGGCTGGAAAAACCTGAGGAACTTCATTGGCCAGATTAAAAACAGATTCTTATCAATGAGCCAGTGTCCTACACACCGAGTCAGAACCCAGCGGTTTACCCACAGAGGTGGGTCTTTACCCACTGAGACATTGTCTTACCAACTGAGCTGGTGGCTTAACCCCTGAGCCGATGGCTTATCCAGAGCTGGCACCTCATGTACTGAGCCACCTTGGTTTTCGTTCTGCTCTTGTATTGCACATAAAAATGCCTTCCTGGCTAGGCACAGATTTGACCTTTAATTGATGAATGCCATTATTTAAAGTTAACCTAGATATCATGTCTTAGTAAATCGTTTTTCATTCCAGGTTTCTGCTTACACTAAACCTGATCAAGTGATAGAATCTGTCAGTTTTGATACGTTGCTTAAAGAAGCGGAGGTGTTGAAGAAAGCTGCCGAGGATGCAGGAGAAAACGTTACAGCTACTACAGCTGAGGGAACTGATTCAGAAACTGAGACCAGTGACACGGATGTTGAAATGAAGGAAGAAGTAACAGATTCACAGGCTAAGAAGAAATATCCTAGAAAACCACATTACCGTCATGCTGATAGATTTATTTTAAAAGCTGCCCAGGCACGATTTATTTTAAAAGCTGCCCAGGCACGACTAGACGAATTCATAAAAGTTAAAATGCTAAAAGATCTACTGTTTGGACCTGCTTTCCCTCATCATATCACACGCCAGATTAACGGCTTACTGTATAACCTCCCCGTTCCAGTTCGCTTTATAAATCATTCCACTAGAAATCAGATGTACACCATTGTAACGCAAAGTATGTCACCGATCAAAATTGTCGCATTTCTCAAAGCCAACGGTGGACAGTCTGGTCGCTTTCGTTTAGTCGACAAATCAGAACTTCCGACACATAAGGACATTTTACCAGAACTTAAAAGTAGGGAAATTTTAACTAAGATCAAATCCAAATTTTAGTAGAAATTTCAATTTTGATTGGCTAAGCACTAAAACCAATCAAATTGTTGGCTTTTTTTTGCTAATAAATATAAGTGCTAGTCTAATGTCTTGTCTCAATTACATCTTCAACAGTATGGTTTTGTTTCTAATTTAAAATCCAAATATTTGTCTAAAGTCTTTACCAGTTGTGTGGTTGAGTGGTCTGATGTATGCTTTAGATCATAAGGTCTGTCATTGATTCAAATGCCATGGTTTGTTTTGAAGGTACTTCCAACCTTATTTGTCTTATTTTCGCCAGACATGTTTGGCCGTTTTGACTGACTTGCAATGAAATTGACCAACTGGAGAATACTAGTAGATCATAAGGTCTGTCTAAAGTTTAGACAAATATTTGGATTTTAAACTAGATTTATAAGGGGCATTTTAAAGGGGCATTGGCGCCATTGGGTAAGATTAGATAAGAGCTGACAGTTCTCGCTATAATAGTTCAACAATAAATAATAGAAACAGAAAATGCTGAAATTTCAGTCAGATTGCTTTGCTCTGAACCGAGATATAGGTGATTCAGTTTTAGGCTACAGAGCCAATTTTCTGAAAGGTAACCTTTTCTGTGGTTCAAGTATCTGATGTGAGAATCTGGGCCCTGTTTCTCGAAATCTTAACAGTGGGAATGCAGTCGACCATACTCTTGGAAACGAAGCTAAGCCTCTTCACTAAATGACAGACCTTATTATCCAACACGAATGCATTATCATTTGACTCCACCCCCTCCCCTGCAGTGACACATGAATGTTGTGACCAATAACCACTTTCCTGTCTTAAGGCCTTTGAAAACAGTATTCCTCATTATTAATTTGTCCCAACTAATCATGGTTCATGAATGCGTGTTCTCGATATGTTGACACTTCTACGATGGTGGGTGACTACGAGTCATGAGTGAAATAATCTTATTTCGTTTAATCTGTTATACTAATATAGAGAAAATACAATTTACATTTTATGGATATAACTTTTATGGATATAACTGTTACAACAAATAACACATCTACACAAATTTTTAAGTTGACCTCATTTCAATCAAAGTAAATACATGTACCCGTAAGTATTGTTTATATTCGCGTTACGTTTGGTAGTGGAACCGTGACACTGACATATTGTACATCGTTGACTTCAGGGTTAGGCTTGTTGTCTACCAAAGTTAGGTTAACATCTTCCACTACACTGCAAAGTCAGTAACATCATCAAGCTAACCTTTGCTAAAAGGTTAATGTTAATAACATCCACCAATTAGTCTATACACTAAACACAAGACCTGCAGCATTCAATCTCTGTGATCTGTAAATAATTAATAAAAAAACATATGAACTTACTTCAAATTTACACACTATAACTTATTACATAAACTTTATGTAGATAAGGAAAGTGAATTTTGAGATGCACTCCAATGACAAGTAGTTGATTTACATAAAAATTTACAAAAATAAGAACTGTTAATGAAAATAATAAACTGATTTACCTCAAGATAGATAATTGGAAATATTTTCTATACTTTTCTTCTGAAAAATGAAAGGGCGTAGTTTTATTATAAAACAAGGAACATGTACTACAAAAACATATAATTATTAATGTACCCCCTCGCCAACACGTACATTTGGAATTCATTTAATATAGTTAACTAAAAAAAATGTTAAAATCACAATTAATTATGATACCACAATTACAGGCTGGTAAAATCAACACAAAGTTCATACATTAGATTATAATAACCAGAATCGACTTTAAACTGATGTCTCTCACATATCAATGCCATAACTCTTGCAGTAATCATCAGATCTCGCTGAAAATCAATAGGCGTCTTGTCTCATGACCTTAAACACTGTGTATAAATTTAAAGTCAATTGGATTTTAACTTTAGCCTCTAGAGTGTTCACAAGATTTTTCAAAGTGATCAAGGGCCATAACTCTGGTAGTAATTATCGGTTGCCAATTCAAAACATATTTGTTTTCATTTTCCAACTCTTGTCTTACTCTTTTTGCAATGTAAAAATCACGAAAACGTTTTATTTCTCCCAAAGTGAAATTGCCATATGGCAAATCTATATAAAAGTCTTTGTCATTTTGTATAGACCCAATAATCTGATCCAAATCTTTAATTGGAGGCATGTATTTTGACTCTTCACATCTAGAGAATTTAATATTTGTTATGTTTCGTTTAATAATATAGCTTCTACATATAACAACAGGCAGAATTTTGTTAGGCAATGAGAGATTAATTCTACTAGTACTATTAGTATTTTGTAAAGCCATATTTGAGTACAATGTAACTTGCTCACCTGTTTTAATTTCCTTAGATTATACTGAATACCGTGGCGTACTGGAAAGGTCTTTGAAACCAATTTACGCTGAACAATCTAACACAGTACAGTAGTATAGTATTGTATGGTACCTTCTTCCACCAATCCAAGTGAAAAATCAAAACCACTATTGATGAACACTGAAATAGAAACATAATGTAACTACCCTAAATTCACATATTAGATAGTAAAAGCTTAATTGATTCTATTAGTTAAGTATAATATTTGAAATTAGATCTATAATATATAATTATGATTTTAATAAATCTTAGCTGACAATAACGTGCGGATTTCATTCAGTTTTAAAATTGGTACTATAGGGCCTAGCCAGTATAGCGATTCTGAAGGGAAAATACCGCTTATGACTCATGACGTCACTCAAATATGACAGAAAAGCACTTATTTTGGTGCCATCCCACGCATTGACTGGTATATAGAGCGTTTTGATCATTTGAAACTTTGAGTTTGACCTGAAACCCTATTAATCAATAAATAGGTAATATTAATAAAACAATACTACTAGGCCTATTTATTAGTATTTAGAATATATATCATATAATGTAGGCCTACATACACTGTCATACAGTGCCTTTATTTACAAGTTACATCTGATTTATTAACTGATTATCAGACTTATCCATTTGTGTGTATCTCATTGATCATTCTCAGGCTCAAGTTATACTCCTGACAAGTCCACGAGTCACGATACTGTGACCCCCTGTTGGTTGCTGTTGTAGTAGTTAAACTGTCACTACTACAACTTAAGGGGTATAAATTAAAATAAAATGCTTGAAATGAAGTCGGACTAGGTAGATATCTAGGCCTAATTATAATTATAATGTAGACTTGTTTTCATATCGATTACCCGACGCCAAGACCACTTCTACTGTACTAGCACTAATTTCAATGTAGGCTACTTAGTTAGTAGTCTTACCCCAAAAGTTAGAAAAGACTTCGTCAGCAAAAAAAATTATTTACAATCGGTACATCTATGATTAAGATTTGATTTATGCAGTTTTAGTCAAATACTAGCCTACTATAAAGTAACAAACTTCATTTACATTACCCAGGTCAGAAAATCTCCTCAGAAAATAAAAGATAACTGTTTAGTGTTTGTAGCCCAATAAATATAAGAAGCTGACGCCGTTAAAAACAGTGTTAGCCTAAACATCAGAATATTGCGCCAAAAGCAAACCAGTTAAAAATATAATTTGCGGGTCACGGAAAGATAACTCTGTTTGGAAACATGGTTTGGTGTAGAGGAGTAACCGAAGTTGGCCGAGTGAAATCTGCAGCCGGTTGCCGAGTGAAAAATAGAAAGTAACTCATTGAAGATCCAGTATTGTGCATGGAAATAAGTGATAGTTCAGAGTAATTGATTACGATTCAAAAGAATATATTTAAATATTTAGTTATTATTTCGTTTATTCATTTGATATTGTATATGTTTATATATTAGGCTATTGTCTGATAAGATTTTTAATTTTGAAAACAATTTCGAAGTATAAAATTGGTATTCACCGCTTGAATTTTCTAACGGCGCATGCGTAAAGGGCACTGACCGGAAGTTGAATGCACGCGTTGATTGTTTTTTGAAGAATAAGACGAACGTTTCAGAAACTAATAATTTGAGACTCGATTTTTAAAATTATGTAAATCAGAACCCATCATATCTAATATACATTTAATAATACAACCACAAAATGGTTCGTTTAACGGCTGAACTAATCGAACAATCTGCACAATATACGAATCCCGTCAGAGAAAGGGAGCTCGATTTGAGAGGTAAACAAAATCGAAAGGATTGGAATTGGAGCGGGTTTTACATGACTTAAAGGTGGACATTGTTAAATGCATTGGACTTTTGTTGTTTAATGATATTAAAACTACGACTGGAGGCATTACACCCGTCCTTTCTTATTCAGTCATGTGGCTTCTTGAAATTGAACTTTGCATTATTATTAAATTCAAAACAAAAATAAAACTTCCAACAGGACTGTCTCAAATAGGGGGTTAGGGTGGCCGAAGGTTTTAATGTTACATGTGTGTGCGTTAAATCACAATGTCTGTCATTGAGTCAAGTGGTGTGGTTTCGACTTCCTGCTTGTACGTGACTGAAGGAGTAGTATTGCCTGCGCAACCTTGTGGGTTTTCTCCAGGTCCTCCGGTTTCCCCTCACTGCTAAAAACCCCTACATGCCAGCGAATTATTAAAATAAAATTGAACTGTGTGTTGATCCGGGCAGATCTTCATGTAGTGTAGGCACAGTCATCTGACCTTCTAATTGTATATATGCGTACACCATACCAAACTAGACAATGATATAATAAATGCAATGCCTGTTAAAGCCTTGATTTTACCTGCCCTTGCTTCGGCCCCTTTTTTTTCAACAGTTTGTAATTTCAGGCAATCAAATCTCTGTCATTGACTCCATGCGCTGACGTCACAGAAAAACCTAACCAACCTCTGAAGTCTCGTATCCGTCTGCATTAAAATCATGAATATTCACCAAAACCTGACAGTAAATGCATTTTAAAAACTTCTCCTTCGATTCTACAACCAAAAGTCAACAAAAATCGCCATGCAAAAGGGGGAAAACGGAAAGGGAGAGAAAAACTAAAAATATCTTTGGCCCTTGTTTCATCGTCTTTTCACTGCGGATTGATTTTGTGTGACGTCATGATGACAAGTGTTGACAAACGGAAATAATGTAAATATTGGAAACAAGTTGCTATTATATCGTTTTGTGGGGAGTATTTATGCAAATCAAAACGGCTAGATTGAAGAAAAGACATATCTGAGTGAATCGACAGAGGTTTGATTGCCTGACATTACGAATTGTTGAAAAAAAACGCGGCGAAGCAAGAGCAGGTAAAATCGAGGCTTCAGCAGGCATTGCATTCCTGTTCTTTTTTTATTATATATTGTCTAGTTGAGTATGGTGTATGCATATATATACACATAGAAGGTCAGATTCCTGTGATGTAGGCCATCGAAAGTATAAAAAACGAAACGAAATATGGAGCTGTATTTTTATCAGATTTGAAAATAATAGGTTGTGCATAATATTTTAGAAAAATATTTTTGATGTGTTTCAGGCTACAGAATACCAGTTATAGAAAATTTAGGGGCAACACTAGTAAGTTTATTGAAATCTAGCTTATCAAAATTTTATTGATCAATGTGTCCTTTTTACCGTTATTTGATTAAAGTTTTAGTAGTGTTAAACATGTTTTTTTTATCTGCTGTTCAAACGATAGTAAAGGTATTCTAATAATGATGATCACCTTTGACAATATTTCAATGGTTTTCGCAAATTAATTAATGAAGATTCCTAATGATGGACCAATCTTGTTACGTTTCAAGATGGCAAGAGTGAATATTTCTCACAAATCCATCATCAGAATTTGGTGTCCTTTCTCCTTAATTCACAGTAAAATGTGAAGTTTACAACTAAAGTACAAGTTCCTGCTCACATATACCCTAACTTTATCTCTCTCCCCCCCCCCCCCCTCCAACAAAAAAAAGTATGGTACAAGGTATTAGCACAAAGTGACCTGAAGCATATTCACAAATGCCTTTAAAGTGATATGAAATATTTCAAAGCTATATTAAATGTATCTTCATGTTCCTGTACGGTCTGCAATAGCACAGTCAGTGTAAAAAAGTAGAAGCCAATCAAATTTTAATTACTTCTGATAGATACTAAATTGGGGCCTGACATGGACAGCTGTCTCGTCGTTTGGATAGGGCATAAAACTGAGGTCCCCTGTACACATTGGTGTGCATGTAAAAGATCCTTTGGAAGTTGGAATTTGATATAAGAGTAGGTTGTCCGGGCAAAATTTCATTAGCCACGTCAGAGCAGAACAGTAGGACTTTAAACCCCATTTCATTTTATTTTACTAAATGGGCTGTTACTTTTGATCAGGTTAGGATGTTATACCCTGTTTCATTTATCTTTGTTTTATTTCAGGATCAATTTGATACGATAGATTTCTCTGACAATGATATTAGAAAATTGGATGGTTTTCCATTATTACGTCGTCTAAAAAGTTTATTGTTTAACAACAACAGGATTGTGTAAGTTTCTAAAACATCACCAGTCACTACTAGACGAGCGATAACATTTATTTGACTTAGATATCAAGTGGTCATTGAAACTTTGGGTCTGTTGAAAACAAAACTAATTTGAGTCTCCCAATTGTGATTATTGGGGATAATAATTCAGAATTTATCAGGATTTACACAAAATATACTATTGCAAAGCTTATTGATATGCATTGAATAGTCTGGCAGAATCTTTTCTTCTTCTGGGGGGTTGGATGGCCAATGGTTAGCATATCCGCGTTATATCATATGGTCTGTCATTGAGTCAACTGGCATGGTTTCGATTCCCTGGTTGTATGTGACAAGGAGTAGGATCACCTGTCCAACCTCGTCGGGTTTCTACGGGTCCTCCGGTTTCCTCCCACTGCTTAAGATTCCTACGTGCAAAGAATTATTGAAATGAAATTAACCATATGTTAGTCCTGAAATGACCTGGTTTGTGTCAAATGGTCGTTAAACCCCATTTCTCACCCTAGTTAATGCTTCGTTTAGTTCTCAGTTGGCACAAGATAACGTACCTTGTAATGTCTATATGAAAAATCGTAATATATAATATGCACAATTTTCACTATTATAATAATCTGAATGAATTTCAGACGTATAGGAGAAGATTTAACAGAAAGTATTTCTAATCTAGAGACATTAGTTCTTACAAACAATGGTATGCAAGAATTAGGGGATTTGGACCCCTTGTCAAGCTTACCCAGTCTTGAACATTTAAGGTAAAATAATAAATCATATGATCTTTATTATTATTTTGTTCTCTTTCCCTTTAAAAGGCCCCGAGGGAGCTGCGGTATCTAAGTGGTTAAGAAGCTGGCATGCTAGCCGGGAGGTTGCGTGTTCGATTCCTGCTTTGTCAAGATATTTGGAAATATTTATTTGTGGTGGGGCACCCTACTATTGCAGGTGTCTTTAGTCCTTAAATATTATATAAATTATTAACAAGACAAGACCGTAATTAACACTCGATGCCATTGGATGCTCGAGATTTTAACTAGATTAAAACAGTTCGGTCATTTAATGATTTAATTTAAAAATGGAGGAGTGAGTCCAAGTCTCGAATATACCAGGGCCCTGGTTACCACTATGCACACATCTTGTCAAAACTACAAACAGTGATAACTTGGCTCACAATAAAGTAATTTGAATGAAATTTTCAATATATTCATTTTACATTATCTATTTTTGAACTATTACAGCAAGAACAGTCAGCTCTTTATCTAAATCTTACATCATGTATTTTTAATCTTAATTGACAATTTTTGTAAATATGGATATTAGTGTTTGAGCTGTCATTGATTGAATAAATATAATTTTTTGCTTGTATAGAATTATGTTGTATCTTTTAGTTTATTACGTAATCCAGTCACAACAAAGAAAAATTACAGATTGTATGTTATTCATAAAATACCTCAGATTCGTGTTCTCGATTTTCAGAGAATTAAAATGAAGGTAAGATCTTAGAAATTTTCCAAAATAAAGAGAACGTAATAACTACAAATGATTTTATATATCATTTGTAAAACAACTCCATGTCTACTCAGCTTATTTCAAATATTCTAATAGAACAATGATGGCAACTTAGAATATTTAAATAGTGAAATTACTACTTTTAAATTGGATTTCTGTTCTTGTTTATCAGGAGCTTGGATGGCTGAATGGTTAGCACATGCGCGCTGTATATTGAGTCTAATGACGTGGTTTCGAATCCCTGGTTGTACATGACAAGGAGTAGGGTTGCCTGTCCAACCTCGTGGGTTTTCTCCGATTCCTCCGGTTTTCTCCCACTGCTAAAGACCCTCTACACGCAAGAGAATTATTGAAATAAAATTGAACCATATGTTAGTCCCAAAATGACCTAGTCTGGATGTTACCTCCCCCCCCCCCTTGTTCTTGTTTTTCTTCATTATGATGTACAAAATCTAAGGGAGGTAACAAGTCCTAAAACAAGATGTCTATGCCCATAAATTTAATTTAAGAATTGCCATTTCAGAAAATCTGTTTGCATTGCCTGTTCAATATCCAACACTCTTATATTTTTTATTGCAAAATTTATCTCGTCATGTACCATAGTTTTAATCCTAATTTGTCGTCGCAATTCATGGTTGTTTATAATAATGCATAACTTAAGTGATTTATTTTGGAAAGGGTAGCAACTCTTACTTCAAACATGACTTGGCAAATTATTTGGATAATCAACCACATAAAAAAAAAAAAACTCATGGTTACACAATGACAAAGAAACTTTTGAGCAAATGCTGACAATCGACCCAGACCCTCTGTACGTGGAAAACTAGGAGGTTCTGGGTGACTGAGACTAGGTAGCAATTACTATTATTCTGCCGGTTTGCCAATTTATTAATAATATAATGTTTTTCAGGAAAGGCAGGCAGCGGCTAAATTGTTTAAGGGGAAGAAAGGTCAACAATTGGTCCAGGATCTGGGCAAAAGAAGTAAATCGTTTGTACCCGGGGAAAAATTACCCGAGAAAAGAAATACACCATCTGGTCCAACTAAAGAAGAAATGGATGCCATTAAGGTCAGTAGGAATGTTCTGTGTGTTTTTTAAAAATTATTTCAAATCAAGATCCACACAAATTTGGATCAAAAAAAGAAATTATCCTATTGTAGTGCGAGGGGTTGGATGGTCGAATGGTTAGCATGTGCGCGTTGTATCATAAGGTCTGTCATTGAGTTAACTGGTGTGGTTTGGATTGCCCGGTTGTAGGGACAAGGAGTAGGTTCGTCTGTTCAACCTAGTGGGTTTTCTCTGGGTTCTCCCACTGCTAAAGACCCCTTTGCACAAGCGAATTATTGAAATTAAATTGAACCATATGTTAGTCCCGAAATGACCTAGTTTGTGTGGAGTGGACGTTAAACCCCATTTCTCTCTCTCTTCATCATATATAATACATTATTGTTGAGACTACACCAAGGGCTATACATGTATATTGATGTAATGTTACTTGGGTTATTTCTATTCTGTATTGTTGATAGTTCAACATACGTGTACATGATTATTTCTGTTAGTTTGTGACGAGTGGACGTTAAAACCCACTTTTCTCTCCCTTGCTGGATATTTGTATAGAATTAATGTAATCCATCCGTGTTTATATTTTCTAGAAAGCTATTGCTAATGCTAAAAGTTTAGATGAAGTCGAAAGATTGAACCAGATGTTGAAATCAGGTCAGGTACCTGGTAGGGATTCCAGCCAATCTAAAAGAAGCAAAGGTAACTCTTGAAATCCAGGCTTCGGTGGGTGGGGTCTGGGTATATATAACCATAACCTCATCTATTATTGAACTGATTTCAAACCATTTTGTGTGGGTGTTTTCTGGCGTGATTTCCTCTTATCAAAGGTGCAGGACGGGAGGACCTAACATGGACACCTATGTAGTCATTTAAATGGGACGATAAACCGAGGTCTCATGTATACATGGCAGTTGGAATTCGATATAAGAGTAGGGCATAGTGCCGCTGCCCGGGTAAAATTTCCCCCATAGCACACTGTATGGCATATGCTTGTCTTCACTAGCCCAGTATAGGAGCAGAACAGTAGGACGTTAAACCCCATTTCATTTCATTTTGCTTGGGTGTTTAATATAAGCTAGAATGTGTTGAAAGACTTATAAGAAATTTTAAAACAATGTGTATTTTATCAATGGATTGTCTGATATAATTGTATGGTCTATTCAAAAAAATTATTCTTTTAATCATTGGGAAAAGATGCCCATAGTGCTAATCCCTCTTTAAGCCTGACACGTATTCAGGTGTGTGGGTCGGTCCAATGATTGCCGGGGGGTTGGGTGGCAGAATGGTTAACGTGAGTGTTGGATCATAAGGTCTGTCATTGAGTCAAGTGGCGTGGTTTTGATTCCCGGCTTGTACATGTCGGGGAGTAGCGTCGCCTGTCCAGCCTTGTGGATATTTTCCGGGTTTTACTGTTTCCTCCAACTGCTAAAGACTCCGATGTTCAAGAGAATTAATGAAATAAAATTGAACCATATGTTAGTCTCGAAATGATTTAGTTTGTGTTGAGTGGACATTAAACCCTGTCCACTCGATGCGTAGTAATTTTAAAATGCATACATAGGCATAAGAACTGTTGGGGAATGTGTGGTCTATTCCGTGTGCTTTAGGCCACTAGATCTGTCACTAGGTTGAGTGGCATTTTGATCCCAAGCTGGGTTGCCTGCTCAACATCATGTGTCCTACTTTTTGTTTCCCACTGCTAAAGACTCCAATGTGTAAGGGCCTGATTGAAATAAAATTGTAACATCGGTTTGTCCAGAAATGACGTAAGTTGTATCAAGTTGACGTTGACGTTACACCCCATTGTTCTCTCTATGTCTCAAATTCAATTATATTTTTCTCATAAATTTTAACAAAACTATGTATTAAAATATAAATTACATCTGTTTCAGGTGAAGTGGCATTGATATAGTTTTGAATAGTTAATCCACTGTCATCTTAATCTAAATCGCTGTCATCTTAATCTAAATGAATTCAATTTAGATAATTTTAAAGGGTTTATGACGGTGGTGGGCAAACGTTTTTAGGTGGAGGGCCAAACACAATGTTTTGAAACAAAGCGAGGGCCAAACAAGGATTATGAAATGCCACTTTTATTCAGAGAAAAATCAAAGCATGTTAAATCAAACAATAACATAAAATGAAAGTAGGCCTAAGTCAAGTGGCGTCAGTTAGGCAACTATAAATAGACCTAGAAAGATTATTGATCCTACGGAGAGGAACTCCTGTTAGAATTTTTACTAAAAATTAATCTGAAATCAATATCATTATAAAATTAACTTTGTATCATAGTATTCTCTACAAATTTATCTTAAATCAGCTTTGAATTCAAAATAATCTGGCAAATTGCTTCAAAGCGGACACCTGGAAAAGTTGGGAATTTTTAAGTCTGACCGATTCTCTTCTTTAAAATATGATTAATAATACCTGGAAAAGTTGGGAATATTTAGATCTGAACAATTGTTTTTTAAAATATGATTAATAATTTGTTTGTCTGTGTAATTACAGGAATTGAGGAGGAAGAAGAGGAAGAGATGGATATGTAATATAGCGCCAACAGAATTTTCATTAAATCATCGTTATCATCTGTATATATTTTCATATAAAAAAACTGTATCGCACGATCATCTGTTTCTAGGACGTAAAATCTATTCTTATTTCTCTTTCAGACTGGAAACTGCAATAACCTCGCCAACCCTTAATTCATCGCCCAAATTATTGTTGATATTTTGCACAGATAAATCAAACAGAAATTTGGAATTTTACTCTGGGAGCCACTGTGGTTAAGTGGGTAAAACGCTGGCTCGCTAGCTTGAAGGTTGCGTGTTCGATCCCTGCATTGGCTGAGAAAGTTCATCGGATTTGCCGGCTTGGTTTCCCCTTGTCAGTGTTTCAGGACGGAGGGCCTGACAAGGACAGCTGTCTAGTCGTTTAAATGGTACGAAAAACCAAGGTCCCGTGTACACATTGGTGTGCACGTAAAAGATCTCATGGCAGTTGGAATTGGATATAAGAGTAGGCCATAGTGCCGCCGTCCGGGCAAAATTTCCCTGATAGCACACTGTATGGTGTATGCCCGTCTTCATTAGCCCAGTTGGAGCAGAACAGTAGAACATTAAACCCCGATTCATTTTGTTTTGATTTATCTGTGTGAAATATTGATAATGATGATGTATTATTTTAGAAATGTCAGTTACTAAAGTTGATAAGAACAGAACTTTAAAATACTACATACTAAATATTACAGTGATGGATGTATATTTTGAAATCCCGCCCGCTAATACAGCCAGGCTATATTCTATTTGTCTCATATTGTGTGAATATTGGCTCCGTGAATAATACATCAGTTGTTCCGGATTTTTTACTGTTTGATACGCTTTCTATTCATGATGGCTCAGTCGAAGCAGAACAGTAGGAGGTTAAACCTCATTTCATTTCTATTCATGATGATGACCGGTCTAACCTGTGCATTTTAGATCTTTAGCCCAGGTTCATATGTGAGGTGGAGTAGGGTCACACGCCTAACCTGTTGAATTTTTGTGAGGTATTGCCATTTTCTCACCCTTCTAAAGACGTGTGCGCACGAGAAAATCTTTGAAATAAAATCATAGGTCTGAAATAACCTGGTTTGTGTCGAGACGAAGTTAAACTCTGTTTAATAAATTTAAATTAAACCAGTCTCAATTGTTGACTGATGTATTTTCGACTCGATAATCAGCCAATTATTTATAACATATTGAGCCATGTAGAATATGTAGCTATTGTAAATTGTATTATACCAAATGTCAGTTATTAAAGTTGATAAGAACAGAGCTTTAAGATTGAAACATTTTGGTATCAGATGTATTATTTTATTTTCTAATATCATGATATGAAATTATTTGAATAATGTTTATATTTGAATTTAATATCAAATAAAAGGTTGAGAGGCAAATTTCTCAGATTTTGTTATTTTATGTCCACTTTTGCCAGTTGAAGGGGATTGGATGGCAGAATAGTTAGCACGGGTGCGTTGCATCATAAGGTCTGTCTTTGGGTCAACTGCGTGGTTTCGATTCCCCATTTTTTTGTGACAAGGAGTAGGGTCATCTGTCAAACCTCGTGGGTTTTCTCTGAGTCCTCCAGTTTCCTCCCACTGCTAGCGAATTATTGAAATAAAATTGAACCGTACCGTATGTAAGTCCCTGTATGAATTAATTTGTGTTGAGTTAAGTCCCATTTCTCTCTCTCGCGCCAGTTGAAGAAGACACAGCCAAAATTTCCGTTATATCACACTGTATGGAGTATTCCCATCTTCATTAGCCTCGTCAGAGTAGGATGTTAAACCCCATTGTATTTCTTTTTGATATCAATTAAAGCATTTGGTCATATCATTTAAAGCAATAGGTCGTTATTTAAGTGATTTTTCAGGTAGGGGGTAGCAAAGAGGATTAATGTGTATGCGGGAAATCATAAGGTCTGTCATCGAGTCAACTGCCGTAGTTTCGATTCCCTACTTGTATGTGACAAGGAGTAAGGTCGCCTGTCCAACCTCATGAGTTTTCTCCGGGTCCCCTGGTTTTCTCCCACTGCTAAAGACCCCTTCATGCAATGGAATTATTGAAATAAAATTCAACCATGTTAGTCCCAAAACGCACTTAAAAGATCCCTTCGCCGTTAGAATTTGATATAAGAGTAGGCCATAGTGCCACTGCCTGGGCAAAATTTCCCTCATGCCTGTCTTCATTACCCCATTTCATTTGTTTTCTGTAAGTCTATTTCAAAATTTTATTTCTTGCCTTTAACCTTTAAAGGCATTCTGGCTTTTAATTGAAATAGTTTTGTAAACAATAAATAGCTGGTAATCCAGAAATTCTAAAGGAAGTGAAGTATCGGACTACATCAGGTCATAATAACCTGACATTGTGAAGGCTGGAGAGACATCACAATACAGTTTGGTTAAAATTCATGAGATGTAAACAGGGCTAGTGCTAACACTAACCCTGGACCTATCCCCAATGCTTACCCTAACCCTAACTTACAATGTCGCCAACAATCACGGGCCCTAACCTTATTTACACCTCAGTGACCTCATACTCCTCGCAGTGCTTCGTTTGATTATACCTAACCAACAGAGGGATTTCTCGGGCCATTGCTTCAGGAATATGCAATGACCTTGATGAAAAGTGTTCTATGAGGGAAATTTTGCCTGGGCAGCGGCGCTACGACCTACTCTTATATCGAATTCCAACTGCCAAGGGCAAGGGATCTTTTACATGCACGCCAATGTGTACACAGGACCTCGGTTTTTTCGTCCCACCCAAACGACTAAACAGCTGTCCTTGTCAGGCCCTCCGTCCTGCATCACAGACAAGGGGAAACCACCGCCAGAAAATCTGAATGAACTTTCTCGGCCAATGCAGGGATCGAACACACGAAAATGACAAAAAAACAACAAAAAGATATTTAATTGAATACTGTGTATTTAATAACAGATTCTGTGTCAAAAAAAAAAAAAAGTTTCATTCACAAATACATGTAATTAATTATTATAATATACGAAAAATGTAACATGACAAGACAACAAAGCGAAAGTAGAATACAATACTTCATACAGTATGTATTTTGATCATACACACCTGAACAATTAAAATACCACAAAGTTTCATTTATTTAACAGATATAAAATCTCGTTAAATAAATTTCAAGGTAGATCAGATACACCTGCTAGACATTTTTTTTTGTACAACCAGGTAGCCTATTACTTCAGATCTTAATGTATGGATTAACAAATGCCTGCCAAAAAATAGTGTTAACTGTGTAAATAAATACACTGTTTTGGTGATTAAGGCATTCCATACAACTAAATCCGAAGTGGCTTTAAAAGTTGGCAAAAATGTCTTTAGCTAGTGATTAAATCAATACCATTGAATAACAGGTTGTCAGGTTTTAATCTTGTGATAAGATCGAACCGTCATGTAACCTGAGAAGGAATGTGGTAAATTGTTTCTCCATATTGTTTACTTATCACTTCTGTTTCAATGATTGTAAAATGGGTGCCTATAAATTGTGAGCAGGCGCGGGTCCAAGGAGGGGTGGGGGGCACACTTTTTTGCGGTGGCGAAAAATTTGCGGGAAAGGAGAACAAAAATACTTAAAAATTGTAGTGATCCCCGTCGTAATTTACTACAAAACAAGCCGGTCGGTAACTTGGTTGATTGCCTGTCAGTCCGCCCACCGAGGGCCGGGCTTCGCACTCCCAAGTGGGGGCATCCCCCCCCCTTCTAAAAATCCTGGATCCGCTCCTGGTGAGTTTTATATTTCAGGGTCATAAGATTAAGATTTTGTAGTAGGCCTTCAGACAGAGCTGGATTAAGACCTATAAAGGCCCTCAGCACTTAAAAGATTTTGGTGCCCCCATATAGTAGGGCCTATACAATAATAAACCATAAACAATCCGTTAAAAACTAATTAAGATTTTGCAGTAGGTAGGCCTACTAGCAGGGCTTGATTAATTTAGAGTAGGCCTACTTCTAATTTGATTCATATTTCACAAATGAAATTAGTTTTTAATTAATCCCTAGAGGCTGCGGCCCTTAAAGCCCACATCTTAGCCTGACTCGACATATTCACGAAAACATGATGATTTCAAATCTGATTATAACTTAAACTATCATTTTTAGAAATGCCAACTCACACGAGCAACTAAGATTTTGTTAGATTGGTCATCTCTTTGATTTATAATCAAGAATTGGTGCTGTAGAGAGTCGGTTTGACCTGATACGTTATCTTCATATGACGAAGAAACACGATTAATTTAACAATGGCTAAAATTTAAATGAATCTCAAATTGAATTACTTTAACCAAGCACACCAAAAGTAGGCTAAAATACTCAATTTTAATTAATGAATGAATGAATGAATTTGAACTGTCAAAGGTTCTTCTCTCGATTTTAAGTTACAATTGATTAAACAAAATGTTTTTGTGAATAAAACCCACATTTCAACAAAACTGCATACTTAGGATGACACAGACAATAGCTCACATAAATGAAAGAATTCTACTTAAAAGACACAAACTGTCAATAAATAAAAACTTACAGTACGTTATTATGTAATACACTTTAGGTACAATAGCAAAGTTAATTTTATAAAAAATTCTGATTGTATAAAAATAGTGAAAGGAGTACCCTCTTCAGAGTTTTGCATCTGAATCTTGGTGCAGTAAGAACAAATTTCCTTAACATTTCTAGTCTTTAAGATCAGAAAAAAACCCCAGAGTTTTATTAGGAATAAAGTAAGCAGTAACTTTTACCCTTACATTCTCCTTCACACTCATTTGTCTAGCTATAATAGCGACGTTCCGCAGGCAGTACGAACTACGAACAACGAACTATGATGTTTTTTTGTGTTGATGTCATCACTTCGTGTGATGTCATTGACATAAGCGGCGTTCGGTTCGTTATTCCTTGTTTCAGGTGAACAAAAGTGGAACTAAAGATCGTACTTCAGATTTCGCATTTTGGCGGCAACGTAAATCTGTCAAAAACGAAGTACGAAGCTGTGTTCGTTGTTCGTAGTTCGTACTGGTTGCGAACCTCTCTAATAACATATTGTAACAATGACATAATTATCCTTTGTTTTCATTAAAGAAGTAAATTGTTATTCAGGACATTAATGGTGTAAGTGTTATAGCATTCTTGCATTAATTCACAGCTTGACTCTTAAGTTAATTTATGAATTATATATACTACATTTCATACCCATTAACTCTTATTTCAAACTTTGTTTGATTATGTTACATATTTTAACAATGACATAGTTGGCCTTTGTTTTGTTTTTGTAGTCATTAAATAGATCTATTTTGACATGGAACAATAAAAGTGCATTATTATTGTATTAATGCACAGTTTGTCTATTTGTTTTTTTTATCGCGGTCATATTTGTTAATGCTGTTTTAAACATAGTTTAATTATGTTAAATAATGAAATAGCTACAATTCTTACAGTATAATAATGAACACCTTTTGGCATAGTTTTGTTAAATATTAAAGTTAGAAAGTTATTTTACCTATGTTCTAGTATACTTATATACAATTATTTCAAACACAACATATAAATAAACAACAGACGTTCTTGTTAAGCACAAAAAGCACCAGGATGATGTTACAATATGGTATGACATATCAGACAAAATATCAGTATGTTATATACTACAATTGGATATTTTGGAAGATATGATCATCCATATAAGTAAATCTAAAATACTCTTGGTGTTTTACAAAAATGTCTGTTTAAGATGTATTACGTAAGAGCTAAATCTGCCTATTGCCGATCTCGTTTTTTGGCTTCAAAATACAAATCTTTATATAAATTATTATTTGTTAATAATTAACATTATTAAATCTCGGGGGGCCATTGGACGGCTCCGATTTGAAGTAGATTAGAACACCGTAGTCATTTCAAAGTTAAACGATAAAAAAAGATAATCTTGACAACCTCGATTGTCAAATACCGTTGCTATGATAATAAACAATAGTTAAAACTTCAACCACTGGCACAAAATAAAGTAATTTGACAGAAATTTCCAATATTTTCATTATCTAATTTTGAACTATTAAAGCGAGATAGAGAAACAGAGTTTAACGTCCACTGGACACAAACTAGGTCATTTCGAGACTAACATTTGGTTCAATTTTATTTCAATCATTTGATTGCATTTAGGGGTCTTTAGCTGTGGAAGGAAACCGGGGGACCCGGAGAAAACCCACGAGGTTGGACAGGCGACCCTGCTCTTTGTCATGTACAACCTGGGAATCAAAACCATGCCAGCTGACTCAATGACAGATCTTATGATACAGCGCGCATGTGCTAACTATTCGGCCATCCAATCCCCCAACTATTATAGCAAGAACGGCCAGCTCCTCATTTAATTCTTACGTAATACATCTTTAAATTACATATTTAATTTAAGAAAATAGTAATTTACAGAGTCGAATGTAATCAATATTGCACTAAAATGACTAATAAAAAAACCCTCACACGCTCAATTACTTACAAAACATCTTCTTACACCCACGGTCAATCTCATCAAAATACACATCTATATTGGGTTTCGTTTTTATTCTTTCTGATGGCATCCACTCTATAAAGATCTAAGCGGATGAAATGGAAGGTCGTGTTAGGGGTGATACGAGTCACTTTTGACATTTGATTAAGCAATTAGCATTGATGTTTCTAGTGGGATACCCATGAACTCAATGCAAAAGACCGCTTCATTGGCCAATCCCTCATATAACAACTTATATAAAAACTCTTGCAGTTCCTAATGTAGTAAAGACAAGTAAAATGAAATTTTGAACTATAAAAAACAAAACGAAATGGGATCCTAGTGTAGTATAGACAATTAAAACAAAATTTTGAACTATAAAAACGAAACGAAATAGGATCTGTGTTTTAATCAGATTGTAGGAGAATTATTCTATTTTCCTAATCCCTTTTCAGAAAACATTTATCTGTATAAAAACATTAGAAATGGAGGTAGAATAATAAATAATTTTTTGTTTTAAAGCAATGACTAAAATAATAAATGAGTATTCGTGTAATTACTATGAAGCACAACAAAAATTGTACTGGAAGGTCGGAGAATCTTAAAAATAATACTTTTGATTTTAATTGTCGGAAGATTGTCTTAAAATTAAATTAATATCAATTTTGACCTATATTGTATTCGATCGAATAAGAATCTGCACTTTTGGATTTCAGTCTTATTATGCTATTCAAAATAATTCATAGTCTCTCAAGAGTATTATTGTTGGTTAAGTTTTCAATTTGTTTAACTGTTCAAACAAAGTACACTACAGTACATAATTTCATATATCAGAAAATGTTGGATATAAAGAAAAAAAAAATAAAATGTTTAAAACAAGTAAATCTCAAAACAGTTTTTGTAAAGTTTCTTCATTGATGTGGAAGACAATAAAATAATGTAAGTCGATCAATAAAATTTCAAGTAAAATTCTGACAAGAATTTTGGCTTATGTTGAGATATCAATACATTATGGATGTGATCAATAGAAGAACAAGTGGTTGCCAGGCAATGATACGCCCACATTTTGCAAGAGATGGATAGAGAACAAGCTAAAATAATAATCTGATTTTTTGTACAATCTGGGGCCATAATCCATGAAGTTACAGACCGATTTGTGCGAATAGCAAAAGGAACCAATATATTTTGGTTATAAACATACATTTCAAGTTTTATTAAAATCGAATAATAATTGTGACCTATAGAGTGTCCACAAGCTTAAAACATCAGGGGGCATAATCCATGAAGTTACAATTCGATATATGCCAATATCAAAAGGAACCAAGATCTTTGGGAGATAAACCTATATTTCAAGTTTTGTCAAAATGGGATAAATATTGTGAGCTGTAGAGAGTCTACAAACAATTTGTGGACGGACATCCGAATGGACGGGTGGACAGGAACGACGACAATATACGTCCACATGAAAATGTAGGCGTATAAAAATTCAGTATAAAATTAAAGCTACCGGTATATGTATTTGATTATAAATATTGTTGACTTAGATTTAGACCATTTTGTTTCACAGTATTTTCAATTCAATTGGATTAAAACGACAATTTCAGCATTTATTTCCTCAGATGCCGATTGCATGCATAGACCATCATCGCTATTCTCTCAGACATCTTAATTCCGACCAGCAGAATTACATTTTTCTTGCTCCAATCATCTGGAAGCTGTTAGAAACACTGGATAAATGTGACTAGAGATTCTTTATCAAGCCTTTTCAGATGAGATTTCTGTAAGGGTGTGTTTTAGGTTTGATTTGTAATTATTCTGGGAGTTCAATTCTTCCATCATACCTCCCCATCGTAACTTATATTTGTGACCCCTCCACTCGACGACAGGATTTAAATGTGCACTAAAGATAAAGTATAGGAAGCATGTTTCATTCAATATCCATCCGACTAAAAACTCAAATTTAGAATAAGGTAAAGGTCCACCCTGAAAAAAAAAAAAAAATTTGTTTAACATTTGGTTAGTTAATTGCTTGACAACGTTGAGAACCCTTAACGAAACATCGCTTTAATAAAAATAGTAATTGTGTTCCATATTATGTTTTTGCGTTTATTACGTGTGTCAATTGCTAAATGCCACTCCAGAACATGCAAAATCTAAACTATAGAATTGTCTGATCTAGTGATGGGACAAGCTATACATTTCATTTTTCTTTCAAAAGTCAGGCCTCAGTTCCACAAAGCATTCTCGGGTCTTCCTTTAGGCCTTCAATGTTATATAATCTATTAACATGACAAGACAATAATCAAGTCTCGATGCCATTGGATAGGCCCGATCTTAAGTAGATTAGAACAGTTCAGACATTTACTGATTTAATCTAAAAATGCCGAAGCGAGGCTAAGGTTCGAACAATCAGTATAGTGGTTACAATCAGAGCAAACATCTTGTCAAACCTTCAAAGGCTAATAAAGGCTCAGAATAAAGTAATTTGGGTGAAAGTTTTAATATATTGATTTTGCATTATCTATTTTTGAACTTTTATAGCAAGAACGACCAGCTCTTTATCTAAATCTTACATAATGTATCTTTCAACTATTATAGATAGCAAGAACGACCAGCTCTTTATCTAAATCTTAAATAATGTATGTTTAACCTACCTGAACAACTTTGGCTAAGATATAATCCAATAAAAACCAGACTAAAACATGAACTAGAAAGAAAACTAAAGCTGTCCAATCAAAAAGATATGATACAGCCCAACTGGCAACTGCTCCGAGAAACATACATTGAAATATTGGTTCTAGGGCACTGACTAGAGGAATGGTAGCAATACGTAACTTGGTCCACCTGAAACATATAAAATAATACACGTTTTACAAGAGAGAGTGAGAGAGAGAGAGAGAGAGAGAGGGGGAGAGAGAGAGACAGAGGGAGAGAGAGAGAGAGAGAGAGAGAGAGAGAGAGAGAGAGAGGACACAAACTAGGTCATTTCGAGACTAACATATCAGTCGTTTTTTGTATTTCAGAGGAGAGCCAAAACAAGCTCACCTCAATCAACAAATTGAAAAAATTGCTCCCATAAAAAAGCTCTCCCAGTTTCGATAAGAAGAGTGATTTAGAAATTAAGGAGAGTGATCTGATATTAAGGAGAGTGATTAGTTGTATGTATGGGAAATGGTTCTGAAGATCAATAACTGCATGTAATGGGGTCATTCCTGGTTTAACATCCACTAGACACAAACTAGGTCATTTTGGAACTAACATATGGTTTAATTCTATTTCAATAATTCGCTTACACGTAGGGGTCTTTAGCAGTGAGAGGAAATCCGAGGACTCGGAAAGACCCACGAGGTTGGAGAGGCGACTCTACTCCTTGTCACGTACAACCGGGGAATCAAAACCACGCCAGTTGACTCAATGACAGACCGTATGATACAACGCGCATGCGCTAACCATTCAGCCATCCAACCCCCCACATGTCCTAGGAGTTAAAATCAATATAAACAAACAACAAGGCTGATGGAGACGAGAATACGCCATGCACTGTGCTATGAGAGAAATTTTGCCCCGACAGTGGCACTACCTCCTACTCATACTACATAATAGAGCTGGGCGATATTTTGGTTTTTCGATATAAAACTGTCACAGAAATTTTTCGTCTTCAGAAAAATATCGAAAAAACGAACATACTGCGATATATCGTGGTTTTGATTTTTCTAGACGATATCTAACATAAATATTGAAAAATATTGCACTATCTATTCCCCGGGATATCGCCCAGCTCTACTTCATAGACATCAGAAAACTGATTAAATTACACATTTACTTACCTAATTAATCTTGCATGAAAATGGGATATAGAATAATGACCAGAATTCTGTTTAGCTGTTTCCGAACTAATTTTCACTTGCCAACCCCTGTAAAAATAACAAACACATGAATAATTAAATTACTGCAATATAGGCTACTAACTTACTTAGAGTTAACTACTGCAATATACTAACTGTACTTAACCATAATTAGAGTTAACTACTGCAATATATAAACTGTACTTAACCATAATAAGGGTTAACTACTGTAATATACTAGTTGCACTTAACCATAATTAGAGTTAACTACTGCAATATACTAACTGTACTTAACCATAATAAAGAGTTAACTACTGTAATATACTAGTTGCTCTTAACCATAATTAGAGTTAACTACTGCAATATACTTACTGCACTTAACCATAATTAGAGTTAACTATTGCAATACACTAACTGCACTTAACCATAATTAAACTACTGCAATATACTAACTGCACTTAACCATAATTAGAGTTAACTACTGCAATATACTCACTGCACTTAATCATAATTCGTGTTAACTACTGCAATATGCTAATCACACTTAACCATAATTAGAGTTAACTACTGCAATATACTAACTGTACTTAACCATAATTAGATCTAACTACTGCAACCTTAATTATTTGATATATTATTATATATACTCAACTCAAATAATCTTCATGACGACAGAGAGAGGGGGAGAAATGGGGTTTAACGTCCACTCGACACAAACTAGTTCATTTTGGGACTAACATATGATTTAATCTTATTTCAATAATTTGCTTGCGCGTGGCGTGGGTCTTTAGCAGTGGGAGGAAACCGGAGGCCCCGGTGAAAACCCACGAGATTGGACAGGCAACCTTACTCCTTGTCACGTACAACTGGGGATTCGAAACCATGCCAGTTGACTCAATGACAGGCTGTATGATTCATGACGATAGAAATTAAATATAAATACCTGTCAATGAAGGCCTGGGCGAGAAGATAATCTTCCGCTAAGTATTCCGCGAAGGCTGTTAAACCACCGGCTTCTTCAATAACGTCTTTCTTCATCAAACAGGACATACCCGTGGTACAGTTTATTCCTAGCATGTTAGCACACAAGTACATCTTCGCATGTTGTGTACCAAAAAATACCTAAGAAAAAAATGAAAAGAAATTTAGATTTCTAATCGGTTGATAAAGGACAAGCACCCGAAACGTGTCCTGGATTAAATGTACTCCACTTCTACTATACAGTCTTGTCAAGTTCATTGCTTGGGGAATATTAGCTTTACTTTATTATATTACTTTCAGTCCCCAACCGTATCACTGTTTCATTAGCTAATCCCTCATATCAATAGGAACGCAGGTTATACAACAACTCTTCCAGATCCTAGTGTAGTAAAGACAATTAAAACGAAGAACATAATAAAGAAAAGTGATTTTTTTAAACATTTTTCCTCAATTCTTCAGTCTTCAGCCATCTTGCGAGGCAACTCATCGCGTTTACGAGAACCGATTCGAATACCAACTCAAGACCTATATCTTTGTACAAAACGAGATAGGTAATCGAAACCGATTTGTTTTCTCGTAAAAATGCCTCATGTATATCATCTTCACAGGATGCCGAATGTTGACATCTTTCAATTATCACACCTTTATAAAATCTGATTGGATCTATTTTTAGACTAATTAAGAGATGTTAGTTTACAAGTGATTATAAATCCCTCACATGTCAATCAAGAAAAATAATTTATAGTATTTACCTTTTCTACATGTGAAGCAAATCCTGATCGATCACTTATATATGGCATCTGGTGAACCATACCAACTTTATTATTCAAACAAACAGCCATATCTTCTAATGTATCCTCACACACTATAATCAAATAAAATCAAATATAATGGCCTTTAACGTTCTACTGTTCTGCTCCAACTGGGCTAATGACAGACCTGATTTCATGTGTACACTAGACTCCCCTACCAGATGCTTTAAACTGTTCTGCTCCGACTGGGCTAATGAAGACGGGCATACATCTTACAGTGTCCTATGTGGGACATTTTACCCGGAGTGCGGCACTATATACGGCCGACTCCTATATCGAATTCCAACTGCCAAGGGATCTTTAACTATTATAGCGAGAGCTGTCAGCTCTTTATCTAATCTTCCAGAATGTCCCTTTAAGTTGAAGATAAATACAATGTTACAACATGTACTTACTTTTGATACCACTATCTGATATGAGTATTAATTCATATTGAACATCAATACAGTGTTACAACATGTACTTACTTTTGATACCGCTATCTGATATGAGTATTAATTCATATTGAGCTGCTTCGTAACCTAATATCATATTATTTATTTTAGGATTAACACCCACGGTTCTACCACCTATAAAATATCAAAAAAAACCATAATCATTATTAGGACAGTACAGGGAAAAATTTATCATAGCATGACAATTGACTGTAAATTTATCACAGCAATACAATTGACTGTAAAATTATCATAGCATTCACTGTAGAATTATTATTGCATGACAATTCACCATAAAATTATCATAGCATGACAATTCACTGGTTAGTGCTAAATGTTAAGGCCAGCTCAATTTTTCGTCATAGGTCATAAGATGTAAAGAAGGCTAGCTCTAATCCCAACCTTAACCCCAGACCTAGCCCACATGCTTACCCTAACCGTAACCTATAATCTCGCCAACAATAACATGCTCTGACCTTATTTACATCTCAGCGACCTTGACAAAAATTGAGCTGGCCTTAATAAATAGATTAAAATACAGATCTATATTTCATTTCGTTTTTTTATACTTTCGTTGGCCTACACTACACAAAGATCTGACCGATTGTAGTGGAAGGTCGCGTCAGACCCTATGATGTCAGCCATTTGATTAACCAATCAGCGTCGATGTTTCTAGTGGATTACCCACAGTTCTGTAACAGACCGTTTCATTGGCTAATCCCTCACATCATCCAGAACGCGGGTTATATAATAACTCTTCCAGATCCTAGTGTAGTAAAGACAAGTAAAACGAAAATTGGAACTATAAAAAACAAAATGAAATAGGATCTTTGTTTTACTCAGATTGTCAAAATAAAAGTAATATAAATAGGCTACTATGTGTAAACATGTATTGTTTGGGTACATGTACATATTTGGTTCAGCACTGACATACTGCCCTACATAATGCACAAAAAAAAAAAAAAAAATTCTTATGCCATATTTTATTCATTTGTCCATATTTAAAGTAATCTGCATTAATAAAACAGAAAATTCAAGCATTAAAAAACACAACACAATTTATACGGAAAACCATGACTGCTTTATACACATATAGTACAACATTTCTATATAAAAATATTGTTTTACATCGATTCAGCGTTTCACGATTCAATACACGAATCATAAGACAGTGAATCGCGATACATCGATTCAACGATATATCATGCCATCACTAGTGACAGGTGTCCTATATGTAGCAGGGTATGCCCAGAACATCTAATACCACATCTCATGTATTTGGGTGTTTCAAGTTTCACTAACATTTTTTTCTTGTTCTTTAGTAATTAAACTATTTGCCAGGTGACCCTGCTGGTGACATTAGCCTAAAGGTTACATGTAACCTGACCTCTAACACATAGTTCAAGTCTAAAACACTAATGCATTTAGCTATGAACTACCACGATGGATGGTCAAGATCGAATTTGGGAATGTTTAATATTTCATGAACACCTAGTATCATCGGTCATTATTTAAGAAGTTCGCATAGCTAATGTAACAATTTTTTATCATAATTTTGTGCTTAAAATTTGAATTTATTCTCGTCATAGTCCTCAATATTCTAATTCTTATATCATTTGCTTTGTCAGGGTCTAACTGTACGGTGGCTAACAAAGCAAGATGCTGGCTCACTAGCCGGGAGGTCGCGGTTTCAATCCCTGCATTGGCCGATAAAGTTCATCAGCTGCAGGACGGAGGGCCTGACAAGGACAGCTGTTTAGTCGTTCGGATGGGACAAACAACCAAGGTCCTGTGCACACATTGACGTGCACGTAAAGATCCCTCAATGATGGAATCTGATATATGAGTAGGCTGTAGTGCCGCTGTCTGGGCAAAATTTCCCTCATAGCACACTGTATGGCGCAAACCCGTCTTCATTAACTCAGTTGGAGCAGAACAGTTGGATATTAAATCCATTTTATTTCATTTCATGTCTGCATTTTCTATTAAAATTGATACTATCTTTCGAGTACAGAAATGAGATGCACTCTATTTAAATTCTCTCTCTCTTTTCTTGCTAGTAATTTCCTTACATTATTTCTTTTGTCTGTGTTTAGTTGGGCAGTTCTCCTATTCATGTTTTGTCCATTAAACATGATGAAACGGAACTGTTCTATGTTACCAGACTACATTTAATCTCATCAGACATTAAAAACGATTAAAATCGATCGAATAAATTGAACGAAAGATGAAAGAATAATAATGATTAATGATATTAATCAATTTTTCAAGTGGATAAGATGGAAATGAAGACTATGGAGTTGTAAATATATCAGATTATATAGATATATTAATATTACAGTCTCAATCTTCAATATAATTCATTATACGTAATTACCACTCTATTCTTAAAAAACGCCCACTTTTCAGGTTTTGTTGCTATGTAATAGGTTCCTGCTACCATTATCAAGTCTAAGAGTATGTTATACTCAAGCCTGGACATACAGTAAGTCATCTGTCACAGACTTTATCAGACACTAATTATTACACATATACAAAACAGGACATAAGGCATCTGTCCGACACCAAGCTCATTAAATTACGTTTTTTTATACTTTCAATGGCCTCTACTACATGAAGATCTGACCGGTTGTAGTACATGTAGAAGGTCTCGTCAGGTGTTGTACAAGCAACTTTTGACCCTATGACATCAGACATTGATTAATCAATCTGTGTTGACGTTTCTAGTGGTTTACCCAAAGTTCTGTCAGACATACGACGAAAACTTGCTGTAACTGACCATTTTTATTGGTTTAAAATTTTGTTTTACAATGTACTTGTCTTTACTACAATAGAATTTGGAACAGTTGTTATATAACTTGCGTTCTGTATGGAGTAAGGGATTAGCCAATGAAACGATCTGTTATGGCAAGGTTTTGGCGTGAGGTGCATGGACCTGTGGGTAAACCACTGTGAATAACCTCAAGACAAAGCCAGCTATACTTGAGCAGTTATTGCGTAGTGTACGGTATTCACGTCTCATTAATAAAAACACTCTCTTAACTAAGTTGACATTTTTTCTGCTTGGTTCTCCGACTGAGAATAGACAAAGATCAGACAGGATCAGTAGGAGATAATTAGTGAGAACTGGTGAAACCACGGTGACCTTTGTCAATGACCTTTATTGGTTCTATAATAACTGACTACCATTTACTTATTCTGTTTAATCTTTAAAGTTTAGAGAGATATAAATCATAATGGACCTTTAATTACACGTCTAGTTTAAAAAGGAATTGAAATGGAGTTTAACGTCCTACTTTTTTGCACTGACTGGGCTAATAAAATGGGGTTGAACAGGACCTCGGTTTTCTGTCCCATCCAAACGACTAGATGCTGGTATCAGCCGTTCTTAAAGAGAAGGACAACAATCTTTGTTTGCTGATCAAAGTTTAGTTTTGTTGATGTCCATAGCTTGTTCATAAGATCTAGGCATGTTGTCAGGAATAACTAAAACTCTTATTTCTAGTCCATTGAATTCAAAGGGCCATGATTGATACACATAGTCTACTGCAAGTCGTCCATTCAAAATTTCAATTCATTTTGTATTTCTAGGACCTAAAACTGAACAATATCTACTTTCTCTATTTTAAAAATGAGAGAGAGAGAGAGAGAGAGAGAGAGAGAGAGAGAGAGAGATGGGGTTTAACGTCCACCCGACACAAACTATCTCATTTCGGGATCAACATATGGTTCAATTATATTTCAATAATTCGCTTGCTCGTAGGGGTCTTTAGCAGTGGGAGGAAACCAGAGATTCTAAACCACGCCAGTTGACTCAATGACAGGCCTTATGATACAGCGCACATATGCTAACCATTCGGCCATCCAACCCCCCTTTTAAAAATGACCCTACACCTTTAACAGATCGTTACCTAGAATATATTCCTTGTTATCAGACATGCAATAGACATGTCGGAGTCTACCAATCATATTAAATACGCACTATAAACTCGATGAGATTGACTCATTGTAAAGAAAAGTAAATGAAATAAAGTTTAACATCCTACTGTTCTGCTCCAACTGGGCTAATGAAGACCGGCATACCCCATATAGTGTACTATCAGGGAATTTTGCCAGGACAGTGGACTTCAGCATACTCTTATATCGAATACCATCTGCCAAGGGATCTGCACGCCAATGTGAACATGGAATCTTGTTTTTTTGGTTCCATCCGAACTACTATGCATAATCCCTTGCCAGGCCCTTCATTCTGCACCACTAACAAGGGGAAACCTAATGGAAAATTCTCATGAACTTTCTTGGCCGATGCAATATACGTCCGCATGAAAATGTGGGTGTATACTAAGGCGAACAATTTTGAGTTAATACTGGTCTGAGAATGCTTTGTGAACTCAGGGCTTAGTCATTTAATTTTAATAATTCTCTTGCATGCAGGTCTCAATGATGGGGAGAAAACTGAAAAACATGAATTTTTCTTTCCGAGCAATTGGTATTTATTTTAGGGTATTTTTGTTTTATGATCCCAACTTACCTATAAAGACTTTCGTATTTATTTTAGGGTATTTTTGTACGAGGCTCTGGACCACCATAATGGCTGCATCACTTTCATCTTGTATACAAAATAAAATCTCATACTGCAAGAAAAAAAGAAAAGAAAATACAATTAAATAGAGAGAGAGAGAGAAATGGGGTTTAACATCCACTCGACACAAACTAGATCATTTCGGGACTAACATATGGTTCTATTTTATTTCAATAATTCGCTTGCGCATAGGGGTCTTTAGCAGTGGGAGGAAACCGGAGGACCTGGAGAAAACCCACGAGGTTGGACAGGTGACCCTACTCCTTGTCACGTACAACTGGGGATTCGAAACCATGCCAGTTGACTCAATGACAGACCTTATGATACAGCACGCACTTGCTAACCATTCAGCCATCCAAACCCCCCCAATTAAATATAATCAATGATGTAAATATACAGGAGTTACGAGAAACAGTACATGTAATTATCAGATTTACTTAAATTATACGGTAATCGACCACGTCGCGGAGAGACGATGGAAAAACATTTTTGTTTCTGTCTGGGCTATAAGACAAGAAACACTTGTTGGTTGTTGTAAGTTACTCGGAATACGCGTTGAAAAAATCAATATCGTAGAAATCAGTAAATTTACACAAATTACTGGTTTTATTTCAGTAAATTATAGACCACGATCACGGTAATAGGAATAAATCTAAATTATTGAATACATGTACAATCACAGAAGTAGGAATAAATCTAAATTTCGTGCTTAAAAGTATATGTTTTTTGGACCAGAGAGAGAGAGAGACAGAGAGAGCCAGAGAGAGAGACAGAGAGAGAGAGAGAGAGGAATAAATCTAAATCATTGAACACAATTGCGGAAGTATGAATAAATCTAAATTTTGTGTTTTAAAGAACATGTATATGTTTTTTGGGACCAAAATGTCTTTTTTAAAAATAAAACTACATTTGATTGTATATAGTATTAAAGATATATTATGTAAAATTTAGATAAATAGATGACCGTTCTGGCTATAATAGCTCAAAATTACATAATGTAAAATAAAAATATTGAAAATTTCATTCAAATTTCTTCATTCTGAGCCACGTTTTCACTATTTGTAGTTTTGACAAGATGTGTGCATTGTGGCAACCAGGGCACTGGTATATTCAAGACTTAACCTCGCTTTCCCATTTTAAATTAAATTTTTAAATGGTAAACTGTTCTGATCTAGTTAAAATCTTGAGTATACGATGTCATCGAGAGTTTATTACGGCCTTGTTTCTTAATAAATGTCTAATTAATAGTTTATATAACATTTCAGGCCTAAAGACCTACAATAGGCAGATTTAGCCCTTGCATAATGTATGTTTAACCTCTATATCTAACGTTTATGCTGATATATTGGAGCTTTAAAACAGTTTTATTTCAATGATTTGTTGAACAAAGAAGAGGCAGTAGTATTTAATCTAAATTTTGTTTTATATTCTACATGCAAAAATGATACTCTACAAGGAAAATCAACCCATACGCCTATGCTACACAAGTGATGTTTTCGTACATCAGTACAGTACACGCAGACCTCACGAGCGGGTGTTGCAGCCGGTGCACCGCCCTAGGTCCCATAAGAGTCTATGGGGCCCATGAATATCAAAGTTAAAAATTGAAATGGCCAATTATGCATGAATTTTTTATTATATAAAAATGTACAAAAGTTTTTGCTTCATCACAATCTGCTTAATCAAAATGCCTGCTTAAACACAAATTTTCCTGAGAAGAATGTTGCTTTTTAACCCTTGGTAAACTGATCGATGTTTGAGATAACTAGTGGCTATATACCGATCAACACGGAGAAGACCTAACACGCATCTCCTATATTGTATCATGTTACACTAATTGTTTCCTCAGAAGACCTAACACACTAATTGATTACTCAGAACACATATAGTCCAACTATATCATCTAGACAATCTGATTCAAATACACATCTATATTTCGTTACGATTTTTTTATACTTTCGATGGCCTACACTACATGAAGATCTGACCGGTTGTACTGGAGGGTTGTGTCAGGGGTCTTACGAGGGGCTTTTGATCCTATGACGTCAGACGTTTGATTACCCAATCAGCATTGATGTTTCTTATGGATTACCCACAGTTCCGTGCAAAACACGCCTAAAGCTCGCTGTAACGGACCGTTTCATTGCGTAATCCCTCACATCAACTAGAACACGTCAATGATAACTCTTCCAGATCCTAGTGTAGTAAAGACAATTTAAATGTAATTTTGAACTATAAAAAACGGAACGAAATAGGATCTGTGTTTTAATCAGATTGATCATCTAGATATGACTAGTGTTGGGACAGAGGTGAGGGGGGGGGGCAAGAGGGGTAAAAAAAGGTCTCGCCCCAGCACATTTTTTCCTCTCAACAGCCCCTGAGTACATGATTCATCTAGTAATGTTAAAATGTTCATAGTGTCTAAAGTAGTTGATATTAGGATCCTGTATTTTCACATTAAGATAACATATATATTAATTGAACTGAGCCTAAATTGAATTCTAATTAATTACTATATTACGAATATTAAAGGGTGGGGTGTGTATGTGTGTGTTGGATGGGCGAATGGTTAGCGCATGCGCGTTGTATAAGGTCTGTCAATGAGTCAACTAGTGTGGTTCCGATTCCCCGGTTGTATGTGACAAGGAGTAGGGTCATCTGTCCAACCTTGTGTGTTTTCTCTGGGTCCTCCAGTTTCCTCCCACTGCTAGAGCCCTAAGTGCAAGGGAATTATTGAAATAAAATTGAACCATATGTTAGTCCCAAAATGACTTATTTTATGTCGTTAAACTGTCTCTCTCTCTCTCTCACGAATATTACTATAACATTGAGTTAGAGGTTTAGCTCCCAGAAGACTGGACATTTAAACATACATTATGCAAGAGCTAAATCTGTCTATTGCAGGTCTTTCTTTAGGCCTGAAATTATTAATTAGACATTAATTAACTTATCCAGACCATAATCAACTCTAGATGGCATCGCTAGCCTGCGATCTTTAGTGGATTGTGAGCCGATTTACTGCATAACTTTCCGTCACGATTTTACGATTAAATGGATAATCGAGACTATGCTGTTTATCGTACTGACTTAAGTAATGATGATCAAGGCTAGCCAGAAATTTCAACAGCTTACTTCACGGTTCATAGTGGATCAATTTGAATGAAATTTTCAGCAAATTGCCTTAACATTATCTAGTTTTTAACTATTATAGTGAGAACTGCCAACTTGTTATCGAATCTCCCATAATGTATCTTTAACCTTTATTCTGACATGATGGGGCTTTAATTGTAAAAATGACTGGTTTATCAAATGATTCATTTGTTATGAGTGAAAGATATCTACTATTTGATACGTTTACATGTAATACAGTTTCCGGAAATAAAAGGTCAGTAGTTGTAATATCCTGGTTAATACAAGATTCAACTTCCTTCAAAAACATTTCTACAGTAACAGGACACAGCCCACCACATAAAAGAGAGTGAGAGGGTAAATGAAATGGAGAGAGAGAGAGATAGAGAGAGAAATGAAATGAAATGGGGTTTCACCTCCTACTGTTCTGCTCCAACTGGGCTAATGAAGACCGGAATATGACATACAGTGTGCTATAAGGGAAATTTTGCCCGGACAGCGGCACTACGGCCTACTCTTATATCGAATTCCAACTGCCAAGGGATCTTTTACATGTATGCCACATTTAACATCCACTCAACACCAACTAGGTCCTATCAGGACTAACATATGGTTTAATTTTATTTCAAAAATTTGCTTGCGTGTAAGGGTCTTTAGCAGTGAGAGGAAACCGGAGGACCCAGAGAAAACCCACGAGGTTGGACAGGTGACCCTACTCCTTGTCACATACAATAGGGGAATCACATACACAGACCCGCCTCACCTATTTTTATTGAGTACATTGTACAAACGTAGGCGTATCATATTACAAAGTAAGCTTACATGTATATTCATTAATTGATTAGAGGAGGGAATTAATTAGCCTAATACAAAGATCATTAATAAAAGTTGACCTCATCAGTTATTGTGTGCTACTATACCTAACGAACCTTATTATAGAAATACGATAAGAGTTTAACGTCACGGCAACGTAATACTTGAGACTAACATATTATAGGTTTTCTGTACAAATGATAGGAAATAGATTTGCCCAGGCAGTGGTATTTCAGTCTTACAATTACAATTGTTGAAAGGGCCCTTGAGAGGAAAAAAATGTGTTGGGGCTCCGAGACCTTTTTTGACCCCCCCCCCCCCACTATCCTCCTTTCTAACATCAGTCATACTTAAGACTTGAGTCTAGAGACTTGATTATGGTCTTGCCATGTTAATAAATATCTAATTAATAGTTTATATATCATTTAAGGTCTAAAGAAAGACCTGCAATAGGCAGATTTAGCTTTTAAATAACGCATCCTTAATACTTTCGTAAACCAAAAGATAAGGTCCATGGTATTAACAATTCAATTTGTCGTCATTTTAACTTAAAATCAAGTCCCAAATGAAAGAGTAGAATTTTCCATATTTGAACACTGTAATACAATCAGGAGTAAAAAGTGTCGAGTTTTCAAAATTTGAAGCAGGAAGTCGTGGTTCAGATGTCACATTGACACGAGGATGTTTTATGGTCAGATATAGAAATAAAAATAAAACATACAAAATAAAAATTACAACTAAATAAATTCACACCTGTTCTATATTTCAGTATTAACAATCCTCTTTTGTTTTTTTTGTTTTTTAATTCTTTGATCTAATGCTAGGTGTTTATAAATGAAGAGAAGACATGTCTATCATAAATACTTGTGGTTTTGTTGACTCCGACCGAACGCTACATGATTAATCTACAAGGTAGGTATCATTGTAAAGCATAAAAGCGAAAGGAGAAACAAAAATAAACAAAGGTTTACTTGTTTTATATGAATTTTTGTATGCATATATGCATGTATCATTGTTGAATAGCAAAAAAAACCCAAAACATTTGAGGCATTTTATGATAAAAGATATTTAAACTTTCATTATGCTAAATCTGCCTATTGCAGGTCTTTC